GTTACAATGAACTTATTTAAAAAAAAAAAAAAGCTATAATAGGTACGGTAATTGAGCCATTGACATTTTACATTTATAACATGTCGACCTGGTAATTGAAACACTAATATACACCTGCAATATTATATTATACATGTTAAGTTAGGTAAACATGATTTTTATAAAAAAAAAAAATAATATTAATAACTATTCAATAAATACATAATTATTTTTCTTTCCTGGACTTCATATTTTAATTTTTTTATTTAAAAGATATTTTTTTAAGACCATCTTGCATACAAAATCCTCTTACATTCTTTTTTGTTTTCCGCTACCTCCTTCCAATCCTGGTTTTCGTAATTCTTCACATAAAAAAATCTTTCCTAATACAGTCTTCCCAACGCAGTCTCGGTCTATTTAGAGTCCTTTTGTTTCTTAGCTTTTCTTGAAATATTTTATTTGTCATGGAATTTTGTTTCCTACACAAATGGCCTACTAACAGGTCTTCCAGCTCTTGAATTTGCCTTTTTTCACGTTTGTACATACCTTGATCAAAATATGGGCCATATATTTTTCGCAAAACTTTCCTCTCAAACCTTCCTCAAAAATGCGTAATCTGTTCTCCTCCATTTTTCTTAGTGGTCATCTCTGTGACCCCCCATACGTGACAATATAATTGTCATGTACAACTGAATTTTCACATCTCTTGAGAGTACACTAAAGCTCAATAGATTACCTAATGCATAAAAACATTTATTTCTCATTTTAATTCTTTGTTGAATTTTTATTTGACACTCAGTTGTCTATGTAAGTATTGTGACCAGGTATTTGAACTTTTTTACTTTTTTGATTTCATATTATCCTACGATAATGGTGCCGATTAGTGGAGTGTCACCTAGTTTCCTACTTACTTTCACATATTCTGTTTTTTCGGGGTTAATCTGCAGTCCGACCTTCTTTGCTGATTTTATTTACCTATTAGAGAGATCAACCGTCTTATTTATATCTATACCTAATAAGACTATTATGTCATCAGCATAGGCAAGTAGGTATACTCTTCATGTATTATCAATTATAATTATTATACATAGGTTTTATATTTAATACGTTCGAGTATAGTTTAATTCGTTATATTATAATAAATCAGTAATATGCATATATTTTAATATATTTACTCATACAGCCAGAATAAGGGAAAATGTTAAAATTTGCATGCACGGGTTAAAAGCCTTTTGAAATTCGTTTGAAAAATAACATTTGATAGTCGATATTAATAAATTATATGTAAAATAGCTAGATAGTTGAAATTCAAATCAATTGAAAACCCTGATGGTATATTTTGTGTTTATAAAATGTAATAATTTATTAAAAGTGCCGATATACTCGTAAATGCTATATTATTGATTTATCTATATTGTAACGTATATTTGACAGTTGACAGTATCCCTTTATACAACATTTTTAAGCACTTACAGATGATATCAATTTATAAAATACAATAAAGTTCATAAATCCTGTGTTTTAGTTTCTGAATATAAAGAATGTGCTGTTAGTTTTACGAAGATGTGATGTTTTTATCCTCGGAAAACACACGATTTTTGCTAGTACTTAAATAGTACTAAAATGTATCGATATATTTAATTTCCAAAAGTTCAATTTTGTTAATTTCTAGGTTACAACAGAGGATAAACCACCACTAATACCATTCCGCTCAGAACCGTTTGTAATAATTCATGTTTTATAATGTATACAGTAAATAAACTTAATTACCTTATATTTCCTACCTTCTCAAAATCCTTACTACCCTCGACCCATCACCAGCATCCTAACTATGGTATGAAGTAAATTCAACTTTATTTATTATTTCCTGCGTTGCTAAAACTTAATAAACACTTTTATGATAATGATTACGTGAATATAATCATTATATACAATAGGTTTACTTGTTAAAAACTATAATCTAGCTACTCAACCAAAATACAAATAAAAGTAGGTAGGTGGACAGGTATACCTATATTACATTGAATAACACGTCAATACAATGTATTTTCATAACAATTTTCCCGCGATGAATCGAAATACCACCTATACCTAAATCTTAATCTATTAAATAGGTTGAACATAAATAATAACACGTCGAAAAAATTGTGAAAGATGAAATAAAATATACAATTGTAAACTAACAGAGGTCAAGTCCAAGTATTGACACGTTTCAAAGATATCGGTTTGCATTTGACATTGAAGAATGATGCTTTGGATTTCGAGCGTTAAAAAAAAGCTATCCACCACCCTCTCTTTTACTCTCTCTCTCTCTATATATATATATATATATATACATACATACATAAGGGTCCCGCTGTCAGAAAAAGGTATAAGGGCTCCCAGGTGCGCGGGAAAACCACAACAATATAAATTGTTTGAACGAACCGTGGTAAATTGACGGCCAAACTGTGCGTGAAGCCGTATAGTAGTGGAAAACTCACATGATATGACAAGACAGATGAACATTAAAAATATTCTCGTTTAATTTTATATTTATGGATCTAATTTTCGGAATAAAAAAATAGGTAGGTATATATAATCAATAGATAGTATTATTATTTATCAATATAATTTATTCTGTTTACTACAACATAATTGTTATTCTAAAACAAAAAAATAGTTGATACTGCTGATGCGTTTGTTACTATAATATGAGAGATAAATGGGAATGATTTAATGTATATCTGTATACAACGATAAATCATCGCTAACGAAGTACAAATCTAAGCGAAGTTCAATTTAACATAATTATAAATGCTGTAATTATTACGATTTTCATAAAAATTTCAGCTAAAATGCTTTTATGAAAACTATCAAATTAATCTCGTTATACATTTTCAAACATTTTGACTTGGCTAAAAATTAAATTCAAGTAAATGAAAAACACCGACTAGATCCAAAATGCAAATAAAAACTATTGTCATTTTTTAATTGAAGCAAAATTTCTTGTAGAAAAGCTGTTAACAGGCAATACAAACAGTAGCCGAGAAATCAACACAACTAAAACCAATATATCGATATATCTGTTGTCAATTTTTAAATTTTTCAGAAAAACTATTTCAAATTTAAAAATTATTTTCAAACAAAGTACCACCGGGTAAAAAATTTGTATCTCTTAAGTTTGCTGCGATGTGAATAATTTGATGTACTTTAATAACTGAAAAAGTGTTATTTGATAAAAAAATAAAATCTACTCTACCGTGGATCTGAATTAATAATGAGTATAAAAACAATAATTTCTTTTATTTGCTACAGCTTTTTTTTTTATTTTCATAAACGATAAATATTTCATTTTCCTCTTGATACTTTTAATGTCCGAGGCCCTGACAATAAATTACACGTGAATATACACCAATAGGACAAATCATGTTATAAATATAGATATATACATAAAATATATAATTATATTGGAAAAGAACGTTGTTGAAAAATTAAAGAGCTCTCGTGGAAACACGAGAATACGAAAAAAAGGGTAGAACTGTAAATAATGAATTACCCACGGAACAAGACAAAACGCTTGATAATTTCAACTTAACGTATAGCCGTAACGATCACACAAATTATAGGTTTCGTATAACAAAAGAAATAAAAACGATAAAAGAAAAACTAAATATATAGTACTGGAAACATTAATTTTAAATTAGAAAGCTTTTTTAGGGCAAATATATTAATTATTTGTCTAGTTTAGAAATTTAGAATACCATGAAAACTACTAATAGTCTACAATAATTTAATAATATTTCATTTTAAAATCGTATTGTTTTACTAAAATACAAACCAGATTAGTACTTGTATTTGGCAAATATTATTTAATTATCTAATGTGCAGAAAAAACGTATGCTTGCATGTCGGTGAAAGCAGTACTTACCTGAACCTACAAGCATCGAGTTTTAGGTTTCTAAACTTAAGTTTAAAATACCTTATATCCCCATTGTGTCCATCTATGTCTGTATTTAACTATAGATACATTTTTTCTTTTATAAAAATTATAACATCAAGTTTTGACGTAAATCGTAAATATTACGGCCTTTCAAAAATGTACAACCGAACTTAGATTCAAATCGTTTATCGTTAGCAATGATTTATTTTTACGTACAGATATAAATTAAATTCCTCTCTACCTTCCCAACTTCTTACCTACAACAGTGTCCCACACATCTTGTGAACTATATCCGAATTGTTATATTAAACTTATCATTCATTATTAAACACAAAATTATTTTAATGTCTGTATTGTAATTTTATTCTATGTGATAATATCCAAATAAATTAACCAGTGTCTAAAGTCATTTAGATATTTTAATGATAAGAAACAATTTTATAAAAAAAAATTAAATGAAAATATAAATATAAATATAATTTAGCTAAGACTATTATTAATTTTTATATATATATATATATATAAAAATTGTGTTTAATTATATAAAATTATCTTTTAAAGGTGGTATAGATTAAGGGGATATGGCGGTATAGCGCCCCCATAAATATGGTTGATTTTAACTGTTACAAAGGAAAATAATTTTATAGTTGCTTATTCTGTCTTCTTTTATTCTTCTAATTCGAGGACTGAGTATAAAATACCTAATATACCTATTAAATTACATATAAACACTTTCAAAATTGTATATTATATATAATTATAGTTTATTATTTAAGCTGTTTAAAGTATGTTTAGAAACCGGGAACTTTTTACGCTCACAAAGTGGGCTTTCCTAACTATTTTTTTTAACCAGTTTCTCTTTTCCTGTTATCAAAATAAAAATACTACATAGATAGGTTTTGTTACTCCATGGTAGGTACCTATTAAATTATCATTGATATCAACGTTTTCTTTTCCTTGGTTTCCTTGACATTCACCTAAATAATTTCTCATTTTTTATTTCAAATATTTTCATTCAGTATTTATGTTAAAAATGTACGATTTGAACTAAATTGTATATTATTTAGTGTATATAATACATGATACTATACACATTACAATGGATTCTGATATCAAAACAAATGACCAGGTATAACAATTGAACTAATTAATTATTCTATTCACGTGCCATCAAATAAAATAAATTTGAACTAAATAATGTTTAAAATAGGTACCTATTAACTAGAAAATAAATATTATATAAATTTCAATATTAATCATAGTTATTTAAAGTATAGGCTTGAAATTTTGCAAAAGATAATATGAAATACCTTTAAATATCTACTTTTACGTTTAGCTAATCGATACTTTAAATAGTTAAATTTAGTTAATAAAATTAATTGTTAGATTGGAATTTGTTTAGGCAGCAGCCTACTGTAGGTTAGTAAACCACTAGGCCAATTTCGCTATGATCCCTACTTCTTGCATATAACAGAGGCATACCCGTCCCCTGCGGTATCATCGCTGTTGTTGTTATTCAGTAAGAATTTCTCATTTTTAGTGAGAAAAAAATGGTTTAGGTAAAAAAGAAATAATCTCAGAAAAATACTTTAAAAAAATGCCAATAGTACGAAGTGTTTCCAAGCGGTCACCCCCATCTAAGTACTAACTACGCCCGAATTTGCTTAACTTCAGTGATCGGACGAGAACTGGTGTATTCAACGTGGTATGGTCATTGACGAATTTCAGTGATGCTAATGTGTTAGTTAAACATCCACTCACTCGTATCAATTATAATTTAATAAATAACTAATTATATATAAATTATAATTTCACTAAAACAATAAACCACACAATATTATATACTGGAGGTTTTTATTAATCATCTTTGTTTTAATATTTAATAGATCCTTTATTTTATAATATAGTTTTTAAAAATTATTTCGTTATTTTATAATGCTCAGTAGGTATAGGTATGTGTTAAAAGAAAAATAATAATAATAATACCTATGCAATTCATTAACAATAAAATTAATTATTATTATTTAATTTTTATCAATTGAGAGGTAAGTTAGTTTCAAAATTTCGAATTAGTGGATAAGGGTACTATAGATTTTGGACCAGAATAATAACTAAAAACAACCCAACTTATTATGAAATTTTTAAGTGTGTACTTTTATTTTGTTATCTGTCTGTAGTTTTGTGAATGAGCTTCCGATCCTAATAAGATTTTTTTCGTTCAAAAACTTCACATTTATAGGGGATTTCTTGTAGTGTGTGATTTGGATCAAATTATTGAACTTCAGAGGTAATTTAATACAATTCTTTGTATACTTTTTAAATAATCTCTTAAAAAATGTCGAGAAAATAACATAAAGCAGATAGAAATAATTTTCGAAACTTTAAATTTTCTCTAAATAGATACTTCTTAGAATTTTCTGTTTGAGTTATATGTAAAATATTTCTTTAGTTGTAGTTTAATTACCTCAACTCAATAAAAAGATTATTGCTATGTGTAAAATGTTCAAAAATTTGATACCGATAAGATTCATGAATTACGAGAAGTCTGCAGTATATTTTAAAATTTTGAGCATACTAACGTAACGAAGAATGTATTGAATTTATTTGATGTACTTACCTATGTGATTTTTTTTTTCATCTGTAAACAAATTTTGCATTAGAATTTTGCTTCAATCAAAAAACAAACAAGAGCGTTTTTTTTTTAGAATTTTATCTCTAGTTGGTGCATCGAGGAGATAATTTGTTTTATTTACCTTGCGGTTTTCTTAACAATTTGGAAAAAACGTAGGAAAACGGAATGAAAGTTTAAGGTTTGATTATTTTCACTTTAGTTATTTTGCTCAAATTTGATTAAAAATAATTCCAGAGTGCTAAAATTTACACGGAAAACTAATAGCATTTTTATAGACATGGTTAAATTTAAAAAAAATTCCGATGGATTTTAAGTTTTATTTTTAGTATTTATTTGATAGGAACTATATGTATATTATTATTTAACCAAATAAAAATGTATATACATTTTATACAAGGTTCATTAAAGGTTTTATTTAGTGATCCAAAAATTTAAAATTCGAGCATTTTGTAATAGTTTTTTTTATTTGAATTTTAAGATTAAATTTTGATTTAAATCGTAAAAATTGTAGAATTCAAAACACATTAACCTGAACTTCACTCAGAATAGTATTTCGTTAGCAATGGTTTACCATTACTACAGGTATAAATTAAATAAATTTATGTATCCTACAATCCCAAGTTAACGCGTTAAAAATAACATTTCTATAACTTAAAGTTCTAATTGATAATTTGTTTCAGTTTGAGTATCTTAAAAATATCCATGAAATGATACAAAACAAAACCAATGAATATCAAAAATTGCTGAAAAGCTTAGAAAATAAAATGTATACGCATAATTCTACTGGCCCGTTATACCCAGATGTTACAATGATACATCCCATAAGTCCTTGGACATTTTGGTACAGAAATTCCAAAAAATTGCAAATGACAAATCAGTGGGAAAAATCATTGATCAAAATAGAAACTATTCAAGACATCACACATTTATGGAAGTAAGTCAATATTTAATAGTATAGGTACTGTACCTATATAGTAATATATATCTTATATTTGAATCCACACGCATTTTCGATTGTGACTCGAGAGAGCTAATTTTACAATGATGTGTTTTTTTTTTCTTTTGTCTCTAATAATTACTTATTTAAGGTAGACATAGTTAAAAAGTTCGAAAAATAATTTATCTTATTTCACAGAAATTATATTATAAAGAACTGCGATAAACAAAATGAGCGGTAAGTTTAAATACTTCCTAAAGTTTAAATTTTACTTCTAACGTTACATTGTGAATCGTTTTTATAACTTAACCTTTTAGATAAATTTTTTTTACCCGAAGTATGAAATACTATTCAATAGCTTACAGATTTATAATTCATCTTGTTTTAATGTTTCCATTCTAGTTCATCTTGCCTTAAAAAATTATTTTTTGCAAATAACATAATATTGTATATCTATATAGTATCCCCCATTACTTTTTTCGTTATTCATTTTGTTATATAACTGCATAAGTGTACAAGTACTACACTATCTACTTTACATTTTCAACTGATTTTTATGTTCCACATTTCACAAAGTACCTACTCCATTGAAATCCTTTACACTTGAATTCGCTTTACGGGTTAAATTTTTAAACATATTAAGAGATTTCCAAAAGCCATCTTATTTGAATAAATGTTTTTTTTATTTTGTTTTCATGTAAAATAAAATTTAAGTATTCAACATATCTATATGAATGGTCTGGACTAAAATATTACAGCAAATTGTTGTAAAAAACTCGTTGTTTTTCATTTTAATATTGTACTCAAACCATTCATAACCAATATTCTCTTAATTAATTATTTATTCATTTATCAAATATAATAAAAATGTACCTATAATATTTATGTTAATTTAGAGTACTTAATCACATCATTCAGCCATCAATAAAATTTGCAAATTCGAGTCTATTTGTTTTCAAAAAGAATAGTATACCTGCGTGGGAACACGAAAGCAATCAAAATGCTGGATGTTGGATACTAATATTAAATAATAACCACAATTTGGATAAAATATGGAATAACATGGTATGTATAATATAAAACAGACTTTATTATAAAGGACTGCCGGAAACAAAAAATGTACATTTGAAAAATATATTATAAATTATTATTAATTCACTTTGCTGTACAAGCAATAATGCATGTATAAAATCTTTGAGATAATGCCTAAAGAAAAAAATAATAACAAGTCTGGTATTAACATAAAAATAGCTTATTTATATTCTCTATCCCACTAAAGTACAGTACCGCGTTTTGACAAAAACCTCGAGTAACATCTTAAAATTCAACGATAAACAAAATTTACTTGTTGTGCTGAAAATTATGATTATTCATTAAATTTGTTAATTTTATCATATCGCCGTTATCCTTATGGGATCCGAGAATTGCGGTTTTATCGTGTATATTAATGTATCTAGTGACCGAATAAAATAAACTCAGGCACGTGACCAATGTTGATTTAAACCAGTATTTTCAGTATCATTTCAAATCCAACATTTTAAAGAAAATTTAGAAGAATAAAATAAAGAGGGAAAACATTCAAAAAATTAAAACTTGTAAAGCTTTAGCTATGGTTATATATTAAATATAACTTGTAAACAGTAAATTTAATATTTAGTTAAAAATAAATGTTGGACTATTTTTATATATAAAATAATAATTTTATTAATGTTTTCGTGCATTTGCAAGTATATTATTGTTGTAATCGTAAGTCATAAAATATGAACATGACACCCTGACGGGACGTGATGCGGGAGTCACTCACACTAATGATTATCACACAGAAACCACTACGCACGCACATAGGTACTATAAATTGTCTATACTCAACTCCTTTAAAACGGTCGGCATCGAATCCTTATTTCCTTAGTTTTTTATTACGCTATTTTTTTACATCCATAGAAATACTTGTATGATTCACCCACGATGTTATGTAAAATCACTCTTATTCAAATAACGGTACCTAATTTATAAATTTATAAAAATTTGTTTATCATTGTGCGAGACGGCTAAAATACAACTGTTCGACGGCTCATTAATTCCCGGCCGTATTGTGGTCAGGTAATTTTAGTTTTTCTCTACGTATGCGTTTTCATGAATTTTTTTAAATTTTTTTTTTGCATATTCAAAAATCAGTACATAGTTATTATAGTAGACTGATGAAAATACTATAGAGGTTTTACAAGCATATAGACAGAAAAGAAGGGACCATCCATTGACGACACATCACCGATGAGATTGGTTATTAATTATACCGCGTATTTTTTGTGATTGCAGGTACTATGTAAACTTAGTTTAAGAAGTCTCAAGGCCATTGGCGCTTGAGTATTCTTGGTGGGTTTCCGGAGAGCGTGGCTAAGGATAGGTTGGAGATGAGACGGTTAGAGTGATTAAGGATATAGATTGAAGCGTCTATGAAAACGCGTTTAATTATTAGTTTTGACGACTTTGGTGGACTCGTGGTAATTCTTAAGTCTGTGTGTAGGGTAAATTTGGAGACGTTTTCAAAACTGCCTACTAGTTACAACAAAAACACTGGATTTGAATTCTCCACTTGATATAATAACGATTTCGTATTGTATTTTTTTTTTTTGTAATGGCGGCGTGGAGGCAACGCAACACCAACCCAGAATAGTAATCCCCTCCCCCCAATCACCATGATCGGAAGCCTCCGTATAAAATCTTACTCTACGGGGCCCCCCTCACAGGTTGCGTTCGGAAATTCAGAGAGGGCGGTAGAGTAGTATAAATTATAGTATTATCATAGTTATTTATTACAATTTCGATAAAAATCAATGTGATCTTATTCCGGAGAAGTAATTTTAGATTTTTTTTAGACACCCGACGTACAATCCGTAGGCAGAAACAGGGAAAACCCATCGAATGTGACGTATCCGCGGCTTGCGCGTGGTCGACGACAAAACGTAAATTATACGTACGATTAGTTCTTACGTCATGCACTTCTTATCAGACTGTTATCAATAACAATTTGAGTATTTAGATCAAAATAATTTAATTGTATAATTAAAAACACACAAGATATATTTTCGAACGCTCATATTATATTAAAATACGAGTATTCACATACTAAGATTTGACTATTATTAAATAAGAGATACTCAAATGAGATTTTTGGAGTAAAATAAGCATAAAAGTACTTAAAATGTAGAATATAACCATTTTAAAGTTACTTAACATCGCATTTCTATGTACATTTTTATTTGTTTGAATTCAATCGTACTTGATAAGGATTTTTATCGGATAATATAGTGTCACACTAAATCGTGCGCATTGTTTGCCGAGAAGTAGTGCCGACTAATAAATTAATCCATTTTCTACAACGACAACGCGCAAAACAGCAGTATAATAATAATTCACCGGATAAATTTCGCAAAACGTCGGCCCAAAGTTCATTGACCTGTCCCGTCGAAGACGTATTTTCCGAGAGAATTCTATTATTAGACTTTTTCGGTTCTTGCGGCGAAACGGCACGGTGGCCAATCGGTACGGTGGCGGCGAGTCTCTCGCGGTGAGACGGTCCGATGCTTTGCCCTTATCGATCATCGCGTATACTTTATTTGTCATCGCTAAGGCAGAGAAATTATAGGAGGTAATATTGGAAAAATATGCACTCAAATCCTGGATATCGTAATATTGTGGGTCCCTGGCCTTGACTGATAGTACTGTGTAAACACCGATATATTGTATATGTTTATGGACCCCTAAAATTGTTTGTCCCTAGGGTCAAAATCATCTTAATCCGGGCTTGGCGAGGAAGAGTCATGTGGAAACTTCACGATTACGATAGTTAATAAAAGTGATTATTTTTAATTTCATGTGTCACGTTTTCCGACAACCGATGGTAAACGACGAATGACCCGGCGAATAAAAAATATAATCGCCAAAGGTACTCGACAATTAAACACCTCTTCCTGTTTGACTTGTACAGTGTGACTCACCCAGCTTCAGACTCGTTTTAACACGTTTTAACGGACGTAACACTGTCTTCCTGAGTATACTTTCAGCAGTTCAGTAGTGTCGTCGAAACGTGGTAGAGAAAAAAGACTCGTTCTTTTATAAATACGGGGACTTAAGAAATAACTACATAAATTCTCGTCTGATCTTGCTACATATCAACGATTATTTGAGACATATTATTGTCTTATACGATCTACTCGAACGGCTTTCTGCATCTGTTATTGAATTTTGTATAATAATCGTTTTCGTTTTACGTCAACGTTGGGCATTTTGAACAATAAATTCTCAATAGTATTATAGTTAGTTAACTGGCTATAACTACCAAGTTAAACTAAACAGTTTTTTTTATTATAATAATATAGTACTTAATATTATTATATGAGCGTGAAACCGACAGCACGTAAACAACACGTCATATACTTTCGTAGAATAAACGAAATAATGTTATATTTCGTATAACATTCTGTGGTAACGGTAAATCAATAATACAAATTTAACAAACACAATTTATCATATTTTATCATGGTTGAGTTTTCCCTTTTCGGACAATCAATTACACTAATTACAGATAGTCATGTATATTTTGTGAGCCGTGAGGGCAGCGCGATGGCTCTATGTAGCCATAATTGTATAATAATACAAATAGGACGTACTACAAAAATAAGCTTCATAACAGTAGGTATCTCTCCTACTGATAACCTAATAACTCATAATATTATATTTCATTACGATCTTGGATATTCTGACCTATAGTGACATCACAAACTAAACTAATAAATATGTATTCAACTAAAAACTGAAAGAAATTATTGAACTGTTAACCGCACAACAAGCATTAGCTTACAGAGGTTTAGTAACTTTTATGTAAAAAATATGCTTTTTGTACATGTATTTGGTTATAAAAATAAAATAAATAAATATCATAAAAAAAAAATGTATATATATTATATTGTTTTTGATTGTGTTACAACAACAAAATCGGTTTATTTTGAATCAACTCAAACCTCCTTTTATTCCCCCTACCCCCCCTCTTGATATGTCCTTGAAACAGATTAGTTTATGAAACACAAAATTTAACTTGTACTTTAAAGAAAAATGTTTCGAATATCGTTCTAGTTTGATATTTGAAAAGTTACGATCAATGTTGACATTTCTCATAAGTAAACCGGCAAGCATTAAAATTTTAAATATTTATAGTAGGTTCCTACCTACGTAATACTACTTGCCCTAATCATTTTTAGAATGCTGCAGTGTTGGTCACTATTAAATTTCAAATAATAATGTACATATTATATTATCTTGATTCTGGGCGCAAAATACATAGATACCTATGTCATCATAATATTACAGCGATAATTAAATTAGACACAAACAATTTGTTTAACATTTTAAACATGTAGATGAGTAGGCTTGTTCAAATAATTGTGTGCGTGAATTTATAAACGCCATGTTTTGTACCTACAGATACTAGAAGTTGTTGGTGACAAATTTGAAGCTGTTGCGTCTGACGTAAATGGTATTGGATTGCACATCAAATATGTAGGTTCCAAGATTACGGTGTGGACTACCAAACCAACCTTAGAAAACTATCGAAATATATTGACAATCGGGTAAAACCTGTTATGTTTTAATTTCCGCCTACCGATATTTTATACCAATTAATAAATTATTATTTATTATTATTATTATAGCGTTTTGAGTAGGAAAATTATTGGACCGGCGATTAAAAATATATATTATTTTTTCCATAACCGATCGTTACCGCAATAGTTACCGTGCGAAAATGTATGCAATTATGACATTGCGAATTTTTGAAAAAATTACAATATCAAAAAAAAAGCTCATACAAACGAGTACGTGGTCAAGTAAAATGTTTTTGTATAGAATTTTGAAATATGTTTATATCAATTTACAAAGCTATTATTATTAAAACAAATTACTTACAATTTATTACATAAATATTGTTTCAATATATACTATAGTACTTATAATAACTAAACGATATTAAAATATTATTACGTTTTTTTTTTTTTTTTTATTAAACTAGGTACTCATTTTGTATCTTATCATGGAAATAAAATACCAAGGCATCTAACAAATTAAAAAAAAAAAACAACAATTAAAACAAATTAATAAACTGACTAGCTATTTAAAAAAACATACAATGATGAATAGCCGACATTGTAAGAGGAAATTATTTCACCGAACGAGTACCTAATACATAGATGAGGTATTAGTTTAAATAAACATTGGTGTTGATATTTCTGATTTTCGGCCACCCATTGACAATATATTCCACTTTTTGGATAGGAAGAGGCAAAGGTAGTCAAACTGAGAGGGATAATGAGGATATATCTCCCCATTTACCTCATTTGTCTTAAATATTTATAACAATATACAGGTCACTTTTACAGCATGTGAACCTCGTTGTTATGGTTAAATTAAGCATAAATTCAAATTCAGATTTTTTAAATTTTTAAGACGTATTGTAAAAGACGATATTTTCGAATACTTAGATTTTTCACAACATTTAAAGAGTATCCTGTGGCGATAAAAACTTTGGTTATTAGAACGTACATGTTTTAACGCAAATTGTTAATCAATTGATTTTCTGAAAGTTTTAGAGTATTTTAATAGAAATTTGAACGAATAGTTTGTTAGTTATTCTACTTTAAATACTAAAGATTTGTCTTAATCAAAGTAAAAAATTGCCTATACACGACTCCTATGAAACAATCGGCATCTAATTCCCATAAAAGGCTATTATCCTTAATATTTGAAACAGGATAACTCAGAAACTTATCGTTCAAATTTCGATTAAAATACGATAAAACATTCAAAAAATCGTCGGATTGATAATCTGCACCAAAAAATGTCATTTGAAAAACCAAAGTTTTTATCACCACAGAATACACTTTAAATTTTGTAAAAAGCTATGGTATAGACAAGGCGGGATCTTAACATTTTAATACCCAGGGAAAATAAAAAAGTCACGCCCATTTCAGGGAAATGACCTGTTAATATTTTTTTTTTTTTTTACGAAAAATCAAACACACTTATGTGTGCCAACAATTTCTAAAACCACTCGCAATATACAGGACAAATAAAATAATCGTTTTTAACTTATAAATCAACATTTTAAATTTTATACTAAACGAGTAATAGTTTTAGAAGCACTTCTTAATTATATATTTGAAACTAAATGTTACGATTTTTTTTTTCTGCGGATCACTTTTCTACCGGAAATCAACCTAAGTATAGTAGTACCTATTGTTAATTTTGTTTTTACTCACCTGAGTACCACCTATAATGTACTAATGACAGAGCGCAGACGGGTGTTAACCGTTGCAGTGTCAAAATTATAATGGAATTTAGTAAAAACTTATTTTATAAACTAATTATTAATGTTACATAGGATGTGCGCCGTGTGTTGAATTTCACTTGAAATGTTGAAAACATTGAAACGTAAATACGGCGTAACACGGACGCACACGAATATTATAATGATAATAAACTTCAATATTTCCAAAATTTCCAATTTATCTGAACGATAATTTTATTGTTAGAACGACAGACAGTCACCGTGCAGGTGCATTAACCTTCCCATTGTAACCATTATCTATGATAATGTACTCACCGGTTACCCGCCGACAGTGGCGGATGGGTTTTTCCACAAAGCGCCAATGCGTGTGTATCAGTACACATCATTAAATCAATGCTATTACGGTTAAAAATAATACAACGTATTATTGTTATGTAGCCACTAAGTAATATCAATGATAAATTTCTTTTAAAATATTATGGGGGGGGTACTTATGACATATTTTCTATTTAATCAGAGTCTATGAAATCTTGAAAAAATACACCCTGCAAAATTATACGTCCCCGCCTCCCCTAGATCCCACCCTGGCTATAGATATATCTAAATCTATAAAGTATTGATGCGAAAATACCGTCGTTCATTGCACATAAAAATTCCCGAAAATCATAATTTAAATGTATGCATAATTTAACCATACACATGGGGAGGCCTACTTAAATTATCACCCTGTACGTTGAATTTTATCTTTACAGTAATAAAAAAAGATTATGTAAATAATAATAGTTCTTAAAAATTATCCTTGCCCCCCCCCATGACACAAAACATAATTTAACAAACATTTGACAGGCACTAGGGGGTGCTTTGCACCAATCTCCCCCTATCCAAAACCTAAAAGTGAAATATCTCGTCAACCGATTGACGGAAATCAAAAGTGTCAACATCAAAGTATATTTGAACTAACGCTGTATCTGTTTGTGAAATGTTTAATGTAACGTGTTTGAGCTGTTTGGTTCTTTAATTGTCGAAAAAATTCGTTTTGAAAAAAATTCGATACTTATTTTGCTGAATCGTTGTGAAACGATTCGCGTTAAATAAATCACTCTGTATAGGCTATTAAACAGGTATACCTACTATATAAATTTATATTATATTGTATTACGGTTATAGTCACGCGTATAATATTATTGTCGGGGCGCGAAGGAAAATATATTACCCGCGAACGGGGTGCGCCCAACGTAACGTGAAAAATACGGTTTATAAAAATATGCGACTAAAATTGATTCGGTTTCTTTTTCGGCCGACTCATTCACAGCTCTCTCTCTCCCGCTCCCTCTCGTACTCACTGCGCGGCCGGTGCCCACTGTTATATCGCATTTATTTTGCAATATCGTCGGGCTCGAAAGATCGCCCGGCAAAACGGGCGATTTGTGTACATTTTTCGAGGTAGACGCAGCCGGTGGGCATTATAGGTGAATTTTCCGACCTGACGATATATACGTCATAATGGTGTGCACGTTTATACAGTCGATTTCGCCGATTCATATTGCACGATATTGTATCGATAAGAGATAATATTCAAAAATATACGAAATTTGTCGTCCGAAATCTCGGTATACTTACTCGCCGAATTGTTACGTATAAACGGCTGCACCGTTGTTTATAATATCCCGGGTCCGCTGCCGATGACAATAATAATAATAACAATAATATATAATCGAAATTTATCTGTTATGTTCGAAAAATGATTTGTTCGGTCGAACCAAAAACAATGTACTCGATAAAACTTTTATAATATTATACACCACTCCACTAGACCGTAAGCCGTAACTATTTACTTTTTTTTTTTTTTTTTCTAATCGCCAGATCCGAGAAAGAAACTGCCCTGTAACCGTACACTAATCTAACCTCACCTAACATAATAATATTTTGATATTCATCGGGGGTATGTTCAAGGGAGGAGTAAGGATGTCGTATTCTCTCATTTGAATTTTTTTTTCTTTTTAACAATACATTTTTGCGTTATGAATTTTCTGTAATCAGAGAAAATAAGTGTACAGTCAATTAGAGTATGCGATTACAACCTGCTGCATGATTATAGGTACTTTTCTTTGAACTTTAAACAATTATTAACAATTACGTATTTGATGACAATAAAAATTGGATATATCAAAATGTCCAGAAAAATGAACTCTAAAAATTGGACATCTTCAAATTTTTCTAAAATAATAAAATAAAAAGTTTTTGTTTAAGTATTTTGTTATCAATTCATAAAAAATTGATTGCTATGTAAATGTTTGTAGTTCTCATCCCTGTGAATAAGTAGTATACAAAAATATAATTTCATTATATTTATTATCTCCGGAGATATTACAATGGGTATATCTTTGGGGGATATCCTATATATAGGTGTCCCACTGGACACCTATATGACACTAGTGACACTACCCGAAATTTAAGATTTTTTTACAAATCCTACGAAATAATTTATATTATTTATTAGATCAAATTGCAGCGTGTGTTTCTTAAAATTTTGAAAAAAGGAACCAGATTTCTAGACTAATTATTTTAGATTTTTAGATCTTGTGTGTAGGTATAACGAAGAAAAGTTATAATTTTTAAGTACTAAGATTTTAATTTATAGTCAATACTGCTTATACTACCTTATAAATAATGATGTACACAATTACTTGGAATTTATTTTTAGATTAACTACCGGTAAACCACTTCGCTATAATAGTGTTGCAAATTAATTTATCTATACCAAATTGAATAAAAATATATTATTGAAATTATTATAAAATACCTATATTGCTATACTGAAATACGAAGTATAGCTGTGAAAACTTTGTTTCACTTCTTATAATCTTATAAATTATAGTACATTGTAAGTTGTAATTTATATTATTTTAGGTAGACAAATAACAAATACATTTTATTAAAGCTAAACAAAACAAAAAATATGTACAATATACTTATTAATATATTTATTTACTTGCCATATATTAGGAATTAGTAACAATAATTATTGGTTATTAGAATAAGACAATTTAAAAATAAATTACTCGTAAATACGGTAAAGTGAATTTTATTTATTACTTCCTGATAAATTACTTACTTTAATTTATTTGATCAAGTAATATAACCCATTTACATCATTACTACCTATAAGACCTTTTCCAAACATAGCAGTTAAAACGCCGAATTGCTCATCTATAAGAACAATACATTAGTCGTGGTTTTACGTTAAATTATGTTCAATATTATAATTTTTTTAAATCCGGAGAATGTAAAAGAGGTGTGTTTTTTTTTAATACAAACTACATACAGATTTGGCGACTCTAAATCTAAATCCCGGTGACTTTTTAGTCCCAGTTCATCCCTGGGTAACTACCAGATATTGTACTGATTTCTACCTTAAAATATGTTTTGTGAATTTGTACATATATAATTAGTAATATTCAGATCACCCGAAATCCCCTCCCAAATTAAAATGCTGAGCACGTCATTGCTCGTATATAGGTGCCTATATAGTTATATTATGCATATTGTATAGAATTCAATGGTTTCTATAATATATAAACGAAGGTGATGACTCGTATTTACGGGGAAGGGAAATTAAGGAAATATAATATATTCCACTTGACCTTTTTTTAATGTCTATTATTTAAATTCAATTTTTTTTACTTTTTACTAAACATGCTGTTTCACTAGCGTAGGTAATTAAAACTTCGAATGCCCGTGGCAAAATAGTCTTTGGACGTATATTTACTCACAAAATGTATAAATTAAATGAATTTCACATTGTTTATAAATTATATTTAATTTAAAAATCACTTGTCACTTTTTGTTTTATTAGTGTTAAGGTGTATATTAATTTTTTTTAAAAGCTTTAAAATTGAAAAATTATATCAGTTTATGATCAGAAGATTTATTTTTCACAGCATAAAAAATTTATCGTAGTAGTGAATATGTAGATATATTTTTTTTAGTTTTAAACCTTTGATTGGAAATAAATTTTGGAAAATGAGACAAGGGCCCAAAATTATTTCCACCCCCCACCCTCCCCTAATAGATATTTTCTGCCTGTCCCTGCTAATAGGCTATAAATTATTAAAAACATGTTTAATATTACTATTTACCTTACAATCATTTTTTACTAAATATTTTTTCTGTTTAACAAGGCAAAAATAAATTTATATTTAAAGTAATCCTAGGCCAGTTTTATCAAAATTTTTTTTTTCTTGTTTTTGCTTTAGCAAATTTATCAATTAAATCCTTGGAGTTAACCTCTTGTGCTGTTTCTAGATCGATTGAAAGTAATGCCCAGGCCGCTTAGACGATCTCGCGTCATAGTACCTACTTCTTAAGTACCTATCCTTTAATAATGTTTAGCTAGAAAAAAGATCATTCCGCACTTCCAGATGTTACAGGAATTATCAAAAGTAATAAAAAAGCAATATATACTTCTGGGAAACTTACTGTAACATAATAATGTTTTTTTTACCATTAAAAGCTGAGGAAAATGTCACATTAATATAAGTTTACTAATTTAATTTATAAGAATTGATCTTACAGCTAAAATTTCGCTTGCAAATGTTTTTGACATGTCTTTATTGTATTTGTTTACCAACTTCGTATTTAAAAGTTCTAAATCTCTTGATAATGTAAGAAAATTGTTTATAATCATCATGTAAAATTTAAAAGATTTAATTTACGATTCGCAACATTTCTTGATGGACCCGTGGTTCATTACCCGTCACGCTACCCTATCAGTACACCAATGTGTTCAAGGTCAAAAGGGGCTGTTGCTCCTCCTGGGATTTTCAACCGTATATAATTGTATCACATCTAATGGCAATAATGGCATACCATTTTACCATAATAATAAAAAATATTTCTAGAATGAAACGTTTTTCCGGTTTACCCCGGATGGGATTTTATCCTGCTAGCGCTTAGAAGACATAAGCACCAAAATGAGATAAGAAAAAAAAATCGAACCTAACCTAACCTAACCTAACCAAAATTCAAGGTACCTGCGTGTCATGGTTAATAGATATAATAGATGTATTTATTATCCATGTCTGTGTGATATTAAATTTAAAACTACAATATATGGTTCAAAAACTACAAAAGTTTCATCTTAATTGACAAATTTATTGTCTGATATTTTTAAAGATATCGAAAAAGTCGATCAATTTATTAAAATTATATTAATTTTCATATATATTTGTATGTATATTTTATCGATTATTGACAATTTTAAATATTTTAGATTATGAGTAGAGCGAAGAAGCTTAGGGTTTTACAAAGATGTTTATTTTTTTTTCTGTGGGCAACTTTTCTATTATAAATCTTGTTCCGATTAACAATGATAGCACTTTTTCTGAAAGAAAATCTGATCGGTAATAGGTACTTTAAAAAGGTCATTTTTCGATTTCCCCAGTAGTTTTCTCAACAAATGTGAAAAACCGAAAAACTAAGGAAAAACAGGAAAATCGGTACATTGAACAATTATTATTAAAGAAAATATATAATGCCTATTTAATTATTTTACCTTAATAAGACATATATTGTTGACAAAGTATCACTATCAATTGTTTTTTCGTTAGCAATGGTTTATCGTTGCTTACAAGTAAACATTAAATTACCTAATTACTTATAACAGTGGTTACACCCACCGCCATTATCCTAGGGCTTCTTCTTTAAATACCTACTTATATACAATTTGTGAAATATTAATTTTAGCGCAAATAATATGTCATTTTCGCACCTTTGACGCTCTTTACTCTTTAGTCAGAAAAATCAAAGGTTCGGCACGTTGGTATACTTATAGGTAGGTAGGTAGGTAGTTAATATATCGAAAAATCCTGAACGTGTACATTTTCTTGTTTAAAAATTAAAACGAATACTACATTAAAACCACCACTAAATATATAATATGAATAAGGTTAGATACTTAGATTAGTACCTAAATAGTAAATTAATTAAAAATAATAGCGCTGGCTATTTGATTTCAATGATAATTTTAGAGTAGATTGAATTATAAATTACTTACCTATATAAATATATAAATTACAAATTGATTTTTTTTTATCTGTTTGGGTATAATGTGTAATTATACTTTAAATATGACATAAATTTCAAATTCAACAAATTTATCCTTGACAAAACACTACATACGACATACTGGTGATACGCATTGTTTTAGATAGGCAGTTACATATTATTTAAAAATTTTCATTTATTCTTAGGAACTTCTGAAGTTTTTTTTAAATGTATAATATAGTAACGACAACATTTTATCGAACCAAATAGAATATACCTACCCATCTACATAAAATATAATGTAGGTAGCCGCGAAGAAACAGCACTGTGATTTAGAAATTATAAACGAGACCGCGAGATTCTATGAATTTGGCGTACCCATAGAATTAAATATAAGCTCTAAATGAAATTAAGTTTTGGCGGGGACACGGGATCCGGGTCTAATAAAGATTTATGTACGTGCGCACGCTGTATACGTGACCGCATAATATAATAATATATGGAAAGTCGAAGACCACAAATTTTCGGCGCCTGCGTTTATAATACCTACCTATTTACCTATATATAATACAATGTGAGTTGGTATAGGTACCAAATACCTATATACAAGGTGTCCCACGACGATACACCCGTTGAGAAACCTTGTGAAGTAGGTATTAACTTAAAAAAAAAAAATTAAGAAACAAACCGATTTAAAATGTTACACACCATTATTTTTGGAAGGTGAAACGATTACCTACCCTTTATTTTCCAACGACAACCTTATATTAAATATTCTACGAATAGACGGAGTATTAGTTTAAATAAATGTTGGTTTTGAAATGTTTAATACTATTCTCCTCTGCAGCTATCCAAACTGTGGAATACCTGGACAACATCGGAAAAAAGTTAATGCTTTCCGAGATATCGTAACGGGTATATGTTCCCGTATATTAAGTATAGGTATTATTATAATGTTGAGGAATATGGACAAACGTTTTCCAGTTTATTTCGTGCAATATAATTATATAATATATGACTATAAATATAGATAATATTTATATCATATTGATTCGAGCAAGTTGCAATAAAAAAAAAAAAAACACCCGTGACCAATACAGTTCCGGTACAAAAGCCGAATTTCCTCGCCCCTATCTTCTATTTTGTATTACGGAAATGTAAAACAATTATAACTTAAATTATTGGGCAATACATTTACAAGAATGGGTGGAACAGGGAAACTGTAAAATGTTCTCTCTTTCTCTGGAAAAAAAATAATAATTATGTTAACCCGCTTATTTTGGTAGCTTTCAAATTTGTGTTTGAATTTTAATAAGATATTTCATAGGCACGAATGAACTGGTTTAATTATCAATATTGTGTACGTCGCTTCTGAGAATCTACGTAATAATAATTATACATTTATCTATCTTTCTACAGATCTTTTACACAAAAAAAAATTGGACACGAGACACGCAGAGCACACAAACAGAACTTGAATCAAATTTTCTTTAACAATTTTAATATCCTATAAAAAAAACTTTATTAGTTATTCAACCCAAATACCCAATATTCATACAGGATAGTTAAGGTATATTGTTGTATAAATATTAAATTATTATTTCCACTGAATAGAAAATAAATTTATTTTTTTTTTGATTGTCATTGGTCTATATCATCCACTTTATCCAACAATTATTTCTGCTCATATTTTTTTTAAGCAACAATATTTTATATTGCTAAATTATGGTTGCATATCTGATGATAATAGTATAGGAAAAAAAATATACTTTATTAAATTTATTATTATATTCTAAAATAACAATTATTAGGTTCAAAAAGAAAAATTTGAATTCACAGGCATGGATAGAAATATAGGTATTTATATATTTCACTTTTTGGAGATTTAAAAAAATTTTTACCTATGATAAGATAAATATTTGTATAACTGTTGACAATTTAAGACATAAATAATTGCATAGGAATTTTAAAACCACATTGTTATAAAATAAAAATGTATATTTATTTAACATCCATAATATATTGAAATCTTATTTTGGCATTACAAAAATACATTAAATAATAAACCTAATAGTTGTAAAAAACCAAAAACAATTTATAAAACAATCAGGAATCATAACATATGTGTAGATATGACCCTGACATAAAATGGTAACAAATTAAAATCTATTAATTCTAATTGCAACTATAATTTGGTATATACCAATTACACATTAGAAAAATTAATAGTATCTAGTTCAAAACATTTTTCAATAATAGTAAATAAAATGTATGTATTAAAAAATATGAGATTCCTTTTGTTTGGCGATATTGAATTGAAATATGTATTAATAATTGCTAGGTAAAGGAATTTTTTTAAACTAATAATTTATAAAACGCACAACACATCTATGTAATAGTGCTTACTAAAATAAAAATTAAATTAATATAGGACTGTGCTACTTAATAAATAATGACTATCTAAAGTATAATAACTTTAAAACACATTTTGTGTAGTATCAGATAACAATATTGTTTATACATAAATTCACTATATATTTAAACAATTAAAAATCGAAATTATGTAACTCAATTTGGATTAGACTACTAAGCCAAACCAAGTATTAATATCACATTTCAGCAGTCAAATTATAATCTAACATTTAAACGGTATCGGCATTTGCTAAAAATAGCACAAAATCTTGTCACTACACACTAGTCATCGATAGGAAAGATTTAAATCATCATCCAACACTAATGATACACTAGATAGATCCCAAACAGCAGTAAGATGGAATGCCATATTGCTCAACACGACTAAATACTCAAAAAGAGCAAAGAGTGTATACACTGAAAATTTATACGAATTGATAAAAAAATTGTATTTTTACATAGAACACCTGACAGCAATTAATAGTTTTATATAGTATTGTATGGTAGTATAAAGTTGATAATATTTAATATATTTTGTAATAATGATAAAAATTGGTTCATGAAGAGAAAAAATATAAAAAAATACCGCTATTAGAAATTTTGTACACGTCTTGTATTAAGTAACAGATGCATCATTAAGCCTGTAGCATGAATTGTTATGATTAGGGCTCGAGACTTATTGCACTTAAAATTCACAAAAAAGCGCTTACAAATGTAAAATAAAAATCTCTGGAAAAACACTTGAAAAATATTAAGAAACCAAAAATGGTAGAAGGGTTTGATGCCCCTCCCTCTAACGACTCTAACCTATTAAATACAATTTTCTTACATTACACAAATTACTAACTCAGTTATTTTTTTATAATATTAACAATTTTATTTGAAAACAATTTTTTTTTCTTAATCATATGATTTTAATTACTTTTTTGTGAATTCTAAGTGTAATAGTCTCGAGCCCTAGTTATGAGTGAGAAATGAAATGGAAAAAGAAAGGGTGATTAACATCGGGAAAAATATGTATATATATATATATTCTTATGTTATTACATACCTCCAGATTCACAGTAATTATTGTGTCGCAAGAAACAATAACCAGCAATTGCAAAACTAATCATATTAAATGCTGTAAAGCATATTTTGTATTTTAATGATCGCACTTCTAATTTTGTCATAACTGTTATAGTAATACGCCCTTTTTTCAGTAATATTGAAGAAATTAGCATATTAAGTTCAGAAGCGCAAATGAATGTCATAAAACTTTTTTCATGAATGCCTGAAAAATAAATCAATTAATAGACAATATAAAACAAAAATTAGAGATGGATCATTGGAAAATATTTAAACTTAATATCTATGTTCCACTCAAGATCATTATTTGAATCTAATAATGGTCCACATTAAAATAATAAGTTATTCATAATTACATGTATATATACAACATGTATTGATCTTTTAATATGTTTAAATTAACAATAAATAAATAAATAATTGTACTATTACTTTATATTTTGTATGCTGAGAGGTTAAGAAAACTATTAGTAGTTAAAGTTATATGTTTCATTCTTTATCTCTAATAGTTTAATAACCTTTTGCATCTTTTGTGATAACTAAAATGATTTAATGTATAGATTACAATAAATATTTACACGTGTATGATCTTTTTTAGGATTTCTTAATCATTTTTCAAAAGCAATAATTAATTACAAATATTAAATGCTTCATTAATTTAGTGTTCAATATAGTTCCAATTTAATTTCCCCTTTTTCTGCTTTGATCATTTTAAATTCTTTCAAAAACCAAAATTAATTAAAGTTTAATAAGTTAAAAAAGAACACACTTAATAATGTAAAACTAATACACTTCTCACTCAAATCAAAATGTAAAAAAACAAAAAGTGCATGTAATTGCAAAAAATTTAAATTTAAATAAAAAATAATGGAAATAATAAAATGAAAAGGCTTCATTATTAGATTTACATGCATTGATTGTAGGTAACAAATATGTATTACATATTTATATAGTTTTCACATTTATTTAAAAATAAAATACTGTAAAATAATAAAGTAATTTTAATTTATATAGAAATAATTAATTAAAGAAATAAATAATTTGTATTAAACTTTTTAATCTTGCATCATTTAATATAAGCTGTATATTACATTAAAATTGAACTTTAAATAAATTAAATCTAAACAATATTTTAGACTATATGTCACATTATGGTAAAATAATTACATATGCATTATACATTTTCTTTAATAATATTTGTTTAATGTTATACCTATTTTCTCTTTTTTCCCCATTTATTAGGAAAACTAATGGAAAAATCAAAAGATGACCTTCTTAAAGTATTATCCTAGGAAAGGTGCTATACTTGATACTTCAAAGCAAGATTTCTAATAAAATTTCTGTACACAGTTTAAAATAATAAACATCTTTGTAAAACCAATACATTCTTCATTACACTCAGAATCTAAAACTTGAAATTTCAGGAAAATGCACATAAATAATTATAATAGTTGTACCTATAAAATGTTCTAGATAACATAATATGTATCAAAAAAATAAAGGCAATAACTGAGAACCGTCAAAACACCTTTTTTATTTTACGAAATTTATTAGATAAAAAAATTGATTAACATTCAAACATACACAATGACTTATACATTGGGTTAGGTTATAGACACAATTATTTAGAAAATGATTTTACAACAATATAACAATGCATAATTGTAAACAGAACAGTATTTGCAAGACTGCAACTTCTCCAGGTTGGCAATTCAGTGTCATACTATATTTCATCACAATAAATTACATAATAAACCAGGAAAATAACTCAATACAGATGCCAGATGATAATAATATATTTTGAAATATTAGGATTAATTATATAAATATACATAAATCTTAAATACAATAAGAAAACAAAATCTGAAAGGACTCTTTTCAATCAAGACAATAATTTTAAAAACTTGAAAAAAAATATTAACAATTATCATTATAATAAATTCTAAATATCATGCAAATGAATATGTATAGACTTTGTTTTAATAAAAATTAAATCTGAAAAAGATACATAAGATACAATAAAACGCAGAAAGTTAATAATGATTTACAGTAACTTTACTATAACATCCAAACTGTAGTTATTGTTATCATCATAAATAGAGATGTTAAGAACCCTGATTTTTAAGGTCAAACCGAAGTGAACTTTTCTTAAAATTAAAGAACTTAAACAAACCTACACATTTTTCACAAACCAGAACCTAACTACACTTTTAAAATATTTTATCGAACTCAAACATTAAAAAGTAAAAATGTTAGGTTACGTCAAACAATTTTAAATATAACATATAACATTATGCAAACAATTTTAGTTTTTCTTTTTTGTAACAAAACCACTCTGCCCCAGTACAGAACATTGTATTGATGACTGCGCAGAATCTGCACTAAATGATTTTCGAACCGAACTATTGGGTATTTAGTTCGGGTCGATTATTTGCAATTTTCAGTCCGATTCAAAATTGAAAAGTTCATCATATATTTAAACATAATATTAATATTATAATATATTATATTACCTACACTTATATTCAAATGTTGCAAGATATACATGGCTTTATAATAAAATTAATAGACAAAAAAATGTAATCTAAGAGACAGAAATAGTACAAATAATACTATAAAATATTTTATAATTTTTCCAAAAATATTACATTGATAACTGTAGACGTAATATTATACTTAATTTAAAAAAAAAAATGGTCCAATTAAAATTGTTCTCATGATTATATGAGAAATAACATTAACATCATCAAAGTCAATTATGCTACAATCTGCTATTTCAAATTGCTGATAAAAAACAAAAAATATTTTTAAAATCCAGATTCCAATACCACTCATAATAATAACAGATTAATAGAAAATAAAAAAAAAATTAACTAGAAAAAAATGTATGAATTATTAAGATGGATAAAAAAATTATTTCTAGTACAAGATAAAAAATTAAACCACTCATTAATCAATAGTCACAGATGACAAAATGCTAAAATATACTTAGAAAAACTATTACAAATCAGGTATCCATTTCTACACAAATGGATGTTTAACAAAAGTTTAAAAGTAATGTAGGTACTAATTTTATTAAAATGACAATCAAACATATTTTACCTAATGAATGCAAAAAAAATGGACAAATTCCCAATGAAAAGTGAAATGCTATACAGTTGGTATCAAACAATATTTTTTTTGAAGTATAATTTAATAATCATACTTTATTATAATCCAATCTAGTTTATGTTAAATAGTTCCATGAACCAATAACTGAACTCCAAAAGTGTCTATAATATAAACAAAATTACAAAGAATAATAATAATAAGTAGAATTAAAAATAAATAATCTAATATACTTTTAGCTATTCTTATGTGTTCTAAGTTTTTAAAATCAAAACATTTTAATAAAATGGCTGGCTTACCAAATAACTATTAAGATATATTAGGCAGGAAAACCATTACAACAAAATTAACAAACCCAAAAGCAAGAGCAACGAACAAATATACATACAAATAAATAATTTATTAAATATCTCTTTTTATCAATACTCACTGTAATTATTTGATGAAGTAAATATTGATAGTACAACTAATGAAAATACTTCAACAGTAGTCAAAAATCTTAATAATATAACACACCAATGTAATGATGGTTTAATTATACTAGTGTAGTATTGGTAATAGATACCAACCACAATGAGTCTCACTGGACTATGTGCAATTATCACCAAAGTCCACAGAAATCGCTGTACTGGATAATTGCCCACAGCTGTTGATATAGTTGGCAAATAATTTTTTGTCTAAAAATAGTCATAGTATCAACAAATATAAGCACCTTTGGTAATTATGCAGTTATAAATTATAAAAACGAAAATACAAACTTACTCGATAACCACAATGTGTTGATGTAGCATCTTCTAGTTTGAAAAGTATGGTCCATAAAACACAAAATACAAAAGTAGCTAACACACTAAATAAAGTAATTATTGAAAGCCAAACAACTTTGATTTTGAATAAATATCGTTTATCAGCTTTTTCTGAACATGTCACTGAATAATTGTTGATCATGTTTGATACCCGCCGTAAATCATTCATACTGAAAACAAATTTTTATTTAGTAAAAACATGAAAATAATCACTATTAAAACCGTACAAACTTTCAATTATGAAACATTAAATAGTATTGTTTTAAAAAAAAGCTATACCCGCATTTACTGTTTTAATCTCACAATGGAACAAAATTTTAGTTTAAATAAGAATAACAAAATTTAAAGAGAAGAATAATTTCATTGTTCTTCTAAAATATTTTTAAGAAAATGGTTACAGTTATTTCAAAAAAACTAAAACCTACCATGGTTGTAACTTCTTTGTTTGACAATATTTAAGCTATAGCCTCTTCTTAACTTCAATATAAATTAATAAATTGTGAACAAATAATTTTCTATTTGGTTAACACAAAATAAATTTATGAATGTAAAACAGTTAATTTTAAACAAACATACATCTTAACAACTTATACCAAACATAATATACTTACCCTCAATAATAGAAAATTATAATTGGATTCTATTAAATGAATGACACGTCGGTTACAACGATTGGTTAGTATTAAGTGAGACATCTGAGTAATTTAAACTGACAACAAAGTTACTAAGGAAATCATAATAAAATATTCAAGGAACTGTATCCATATTCGACTAAATATTTTAGTATAATTATATATTATCACTTACTTTAACGGATCGAATTTTTATTATTGCGTGATTATGATATTATCATTGATAGAGAAGAGTGTTGCCATGCGGGCAAAATGAAAATATCTATCTATTCATTAAATAAATCTATAAATTATGGAACTTTAAATACCTAGACACCTATGTAAAACTTACGTGGAAATCTTGACTTGTTTTTCCATGAATCGAAGAAGGATAATACTAGGTGGGTACCATTGAGAAGTTTTAAAACTAAATTTAAACGATTTATAATTTATCACGTTGAATAATAAATGTTATAATATAGTACATTATATAGGTAAGTACCTAATAGGTATTATTGGGGAAATAAACAAAATGAGATAATAAGTTAAAATTAATTATTTTAGAGTTTAAACAACAACAATGTATTTATTGAATTTAAATAATTTATCTGAAAAAAAAAGTTATGCTATGGTTGCTCTAAGAATTATAATGTAGGTAGTTGTAAACCTACAAACTGCACACCAAAATACCTACACGCTACAGAATGCAGGGTACAGAACTTGACAATAGGTCGTTAATTGTGTACATCCGGTTCCACAAAATACTTAACAAAAACTATTCAATAAACTGCAGCGATTTCGGTTTGTCAAATTAGTACCTAAGTCGATGATAAATAAACCACCGGTCACGGTGACATTTACAGTCTTCATCTTTCTAACGGCCATACCTAAGCAAAAAAGATGTGTTCGTACCTACGCGTAAAACAAAATATGAAAAGCTGTTATAATCGGTTTTAGAGATAGAACATTGATTCTTTTGATTTATGAAGAGGACCACATAGGCGTTTTTTTAGATCTTAATTATTTTTAAATGTTAATGAAAACTGTAAAACATCTGCAACGATAGGTTATTACCAACGAACCGTTTTTAAAAGCCTTTTTATTTATTTTACGAGAACACATCTATTATTATTTATTATTACATTATCATATCCATTATTACGGTTACCTACCTATTATTTGCCAATATTAATTTATTATAAAACTGTATTTTTCAGTATACTAGTAAATACTAATTTAATCTAAATCCATATTAAATCTAAATTCAAAGTTAATATATATATTTTTTTTTTTTAAGGAGTTATTTTACTTTTTGCAAGAAGTATCGATTTTCAGATTCTACAAAATGTAGAGAAAATAAAATAGAACATGAAAGGTACAATATATAATATGGGACATGCATAGGTTTAGAAGGCATGTTGGCTTATATTTAGGCTTGTATACAGTCTTTTCAAATACTCCTAGATGCGAATATATTCTCAAAATTATAACTTATAGTTTTAAAGACCTACTTAAGAGAAGTGGAGGTGATGGTTTTCCGTCTCTATCTAACTTTAACACACGAGGAACATAGAAAGTTAGACGTGGTTTTATTCCTAAGTACTAATTGATCTAGTGAAAAGCGAAATCCACTTGAGATTAACTTTCCCGCTTTTTTGATTTTAATTTCTTTAACATTTATAATTTTTAATTTTTTTAATCGCTCATTTTTTAGGTATGACTTTTTTTATGATTTAAAGGGATAAAATCAAAAATGTCGGCAAGTTGTTCTCAAGTAAACTTGACGACAAATTCAAAACTGTTTCCAAAAGTCTTATCACTTTACTCGATCAGTTGTCTGTGTTAAACAAAGACGAGAAATTACCGCACCCAATCCCCTTAAATTTAAAATTCTAGAATATATTTTTATTATAAACTAACCAAACATGATCTATCTACGTTTTTTAGTATAACCACGGTAATAAACATTATTTTTATCAACTATTATCACTGTAGTGATTGGGTACTTAACTAAGTTTTTTGTATATAGGTATGTATGTTTATTGTAGTACAATCAATTCATGGTGTAACTCATGTAAACAATAAATTAAGTATAGGTAAGTACCACGATTTTTTCTACACCGTGGTAACCAATAGGTACTTTTATAGTTATATAATTTGATCCGAAGGAATATGCTGGACCTAACATTTTTTACTAGATACTAGTGGGTCAGTGTCCTGTAGCTGTAGTGGTCAGTTTGTTCATGATACAATTTACAATCATTCATTTTTTCCTAACGTAACCTAATCAAGCATGATAAATCACATAGCGTTCGGATTTGATAGAATTTATCGAAATACACCGTGTTTTAGATTCTAAGCGAGGAATGTCTTGGTTTTACAATGATGTTTATTTTAAATTCATAGCGTAGCGAGGGATTTATTGGTTGTGCTATGATGTGTTTTTTTTTATGCCTCTGATCAACTTTTCTAGCAGAAAAATTGATCTGAAGTATCAAGTGTAGCACCTTTTCTGAAAGGAAATTTTATCTAGTTGGTGAAATAACGATGTAATTTTTGTGATATCCAAAGTAGTTTTCATAATAGTTAGAAAAAACCAAAAAAGACGAAATATACCTATGATTTTTTTCAAATTATAACTCAACAGTTTCATTATTTTAAATTTGTACGGCCTGTTTTCTGCCATAAATATTACTCCAATAAAAAAACAACAAGAGACCTTTTTTGTTAAATTTTTAATCTAGTTGGAGATCAAGAAAGTTGTTTTTTGATTTTCTTTGTAGGTTTTTTAATAATTGAACAAAACCGAAAAATACGTAATGGGAAAATTTACGAAAATAAGACAGAAACCTTATATTTACTATTTCTAGACGTGGTAAAACTTTTAAAACATTTGAGTCATTTTTAGTTATTTATAGATGTTTTAATTTTGCAAGTTTTTTTATGTCATTTTTATTCGGTAGGTACTCTGTGGATAAAATTATTAGACTAAACAAAATGCTTGACAATTTTACAGGAAGTTTATAATAAGTAGTATTTATTAGTAAAATAAAAAATTGAAGTATAATGTCCTATTTTTTTTTTTTATAAAGTTTTAAAATTAAATTTTGACGAAAATCGTAAATATTAAACGAACTTTGCTTCCAGTTGTTTTTCGCTAAAAATAGTTTGTTGTTGGTTATAGGTATAAATTAAATAACTTTATGTATCCCACCTTCCTAACATACCTACATACAGTGGCAGCACCCGCCCTCAGTATCAGTTTTTTTTTTATTATTCCTGTGAACAATTTTTTTACCAGAAATTTTGCTCCGATGTTCTAGTGTATCACGTTTTATGAAAGGATATTTTAGCTGGGTGGTACTGTAAGATGGTAATTTCTTGATTATCAGTTTTCATAATAATTGAGAAAAACCGGGAAAAAACTTAGGAAAAATGTACGAAATGTAATATTTTAAAATTGTAAATATTACAATTCACGACCTTTTAAAACATATATAACTACTTAGAATCGTTTTCCGTTAGCAATGATTAATCTTTGTTACAGATATGCATTAAGTTTCTCCTCTACCTTCCCAACTTCTCAACTACAACAGTGGCCGCCTACCCAACGTGCAAAACATGTCCATTTGTTTTCTTTTTTCGTTTTCATATTATTCTTTATTTTCATTATTGTTTTTTTTTGTTTCTTTAGTTACGTTCTTTAAAAACGGTTTTCATCTCTGCCTATGTTATATAACCTACCTCTGTGTGAAATTTGAAGCTTCTAGACATAGCGGTTTGGGTTGTGCGTTGACATATCATTCAATTGGGCAGTTTCTTATTTTATATTTATAGATTATCCTAAACTAATCAGAATGCATTGTCCGGTTGGCCACTTTTTTGTCTTTAAACACTAAATATAAGAAGGTACCAGCAGTCAGCACCAATGTATAATGTATGAAAATGTATAATTGTGAAATCAATTATAAAATATTGGGAGGGGGATATACTAATCGGGGAAATACACTATTGTTAAAGCATCTATTAAATTGTAAGTTAACATATAGAAGGTGACATGAAGATGTTTTTATAATATTTTGAATGTTACCTACATTTATGTGAAACTATATTATATTATACAATAACATATTAGGTACTCACACGATAAATGTTAAATTAATGTTAAATTAATGTTAATTGAATTATGACCGTATACTGCTGCGGCGTAACTCACAACGCTATTATACAGGCGGTCTACTATAGTTGAAAATTTAACAGAAATTATTTTTTACGAACCGTCATTTCAAGCAGTTAATTGTATTATTTGTTGTTGTTTTTTTTTTAATATTTAAGAACTAATAGTTATATAAATCGTGCCCAGCGTATGTTATCAAAAAACCCGTATATATTATATTATAACAATAATTATAGTCCGACTTCGACGTAATAGATAATTTAATAGTTAACGACGGCGAGTTTATTTTTCGTTTCGAGAACACCTTATGACCTTTTGTAGTATATTTCTTTTGTTAGACTGAAAACTTATATATAGACCTGCATCACTACCGTTACATATTGTTATAACAATTAAATAATAATACGAACATTGGTAGTACCTATTTATCGGTAGGTTTCCACTTTCTGACGAACGACTACGGTGAAATACTTTTTTTACAACCAGAATAATAATATTGGTAGTAGTGCAATACAATTTCTGAACGACTAGTACACGTTTATATTGTTTTATAACTGCGGTCTAACTAATAGATGTTGGTGATACTTTTTTCTTTTTTTTTTTTCACATATTACGTATTCGATTTGAACTGTACAAGTGCATATGCATACATACATAGATATAAACGTATTATAATATAAAATATGAAAACACTTCACGAGGGTATATGGAAATAAGTCCCGTAAATTTCACAAGACGCCTGTGTATTCAAATAGTACAATGTACTATAGATACCGAGCTACATAACAGTAATTATAATATATGCCGACTTATAAGTTATAAGTATGTAATAGATTGCGTACTCTCGTACAAGTCGTACATTAGTATTAGACCTATTATACGTATGGGTGAAATAATTTAAATATTTTAAATATTGTTGTTTATATTTTCGGGGTCCCAACCTATGTGTAAATATAGAACAAAATATGGTAATCTTTACAGTTACCTATTCCTATTTAAAGTTTAAACGGGTTATAGATATATCACCATATTTTTATAATTATAGACGTTATAGATTTTATAATATTATCGTTTAGTCGCCAGGAGCGGATCTAGGAATTATAGATGAGGAAAATAAAAAAAAAAATTTAGGTCTCATATGCGTTAAAAATATATTTTTAATATTGTTTATAATTTAATATTAGTCCTATTTATAAGTAACTATACATTAAGGGGGAGGCTTCAGTCCTCGTAGTCCACTCCCTTGTATCCACCCCTGTTAGTCACTTTGTCGGCTAAAATGATAATGTTTAGTAAACGATATAATTTGTAAAATTTATAAAAAAAAATCTAACAAAGTAACGAAAATAATATTATTTTAACGACGTTAAAATAAAAAAAAAAGTATATAATTTTATCAAAATATATTTTCATTAGGATTTGAACTTTAAACGCTTATAAAGAAAAATTACTTTATTACGATCAACTTTTTAAAAAATAATTACTAATTAAAAATCGCAGTGTAAAATACTTACAATATCAATAATTACAAGTTATATTTACCATAATCAATAATCATTGAATAAAATAATATCAATATAGTAAAACAAATTAATTAAACCAATATAATATTATATTTAAACATATTAACCTATAATTACTATAACTTAACAGTAAATAGAATCAATAGATTGTAATTTATCAAATTTTATAGTATTTAAAATAAAGTAATAATTATAATTGTATGCAAATATATTCGAGTACACCCACAAGCGAAAATTATATCATTAAATTATGTATAATTAATTAAAAATAATTAAATTATGTTTTATGCATAGCCGTTTAAACACAATTTTGGTTTATTATTATTGGATTTGATTATTTCTGCTGTATTTTCAAAATAAGTTGGAAAAGTTAAAAAAGTGTAAAACAATACGCGTGTCTGGAAAATCAGAAAATTATTTTAAACAGAACGGTTGTTGAATGATTATATATCAACATAAAGCAATATCGTATTTCTATTTTATTACTAATTAATACTATTTTATTTTTTCGAAATTACTTATACTTTGAATAAACATACATTGGAATCGTAGTAATAATTACAGACATTTACTAGTATAAACTATTTTCATATTTTGTACTGGTTGTACTATGAAGTTATTTTTGTGTTAACGATTTTTCTACCAGAAAACTTGTCACAATCGATCAATGTCAAGAGATATTTTTTGTTGCATTTTAGATTTAATCGATACGTCGAGAAGGTCAATTTTTGTTTTTCCAAGCGGTTATTAAAATTATCAGGAAAACTCGAGAAAAAAACTTATAGAAAAACGGACAAATTTTCACGGCTCGTCTTAGGCGTTTGGAAATTCAGAGTGAAGAAAAATAGAGTGATAATACATAATAATCAACATAATGTAAGATACTCATTATCTCCGAAGATATTATTTAGTATTAACGTTTATTAGAATTTGTTTTTTAGAACATTTTAGAAATAAGTATAACTCTAAAATTTCGCTATTGACAGAGTAAGTCTTTTTTTGATAACCAAAGTAGTTTTCATAATAGTTGGGAAAAACCAAATAAGATGAAATATACCTATGATTTTTTTTCAAATTATAGCTCAACGATTTCATTATTTTAAATTATTTCAGCTTATGTTTTCTACCATAAATATCGCTCCAATAGAAAAACAACGAGAGACCTTTTTTGTTGAATTTTTAATCTAGTTGGTGACCAAGAAATTCGTTTTTTAATTTCTTTATAGTTTTTTTAATAATTTAGCAAAACTGAAAAGTCCATAGAAAGAATAGGAAAATTTACGAAAATAAGACAGAAACCTTATATTTACTATTTCTAGACGTGGTAAAACTTTTAGAACATTTGAGCCATTTTTAGTTATTTATAGACCGAGAAAATCTCGGTGGGCCGCTTAAAGTTTGAACCGGACGTAATGTGAGTGTGGGTGAAAATAAATTCATGTTTAAAAACGCTGTCATAGGATAATTGGGACGGGCGCAGCCACTATTGTTGGGGAGTATATTAGGATACAGAAGGGGATTTAATGTATATCTGTAAGCAACGATAAACTATTGTTTACAAAAACAAAGATTCTGAGCGGAGTTCAGTTGATAGTGATGCTTTTTCAACAATATATAATATGGCATATAAATATGCCGTAATATTTTTTTTTAACATACCTACATTTCGTATATATGTATGAGAAAACTCCTGAGAAGATCGAAAAACAACCACTTTAAAGTACCTCCCCAATAAGATTCCCTTTCAGAAAAAGTGCTACACCTGATACTTCGGGGCAAGATCTCTGGTAGAAAAGTTATCTACAGAAAAAAAAACATCATTGTAGAACTATAAGTTTTTCACTCTACTCAGAATCTAATACGATTAGCCATCTATAAGCTCGTAACAATTTTAGACGTAATTTTGGGCCAGTAAATATATAAATGGGCCGCATAGAAGCGAAAATCTCGATGGGCCGATACATACCAATCCAGTCCTGGTATCTATTACATATTTTAATAACACAATAATATAACGTTGCAATCAAAATATCATGTTCCATTATTCAACGCGATCTAGATATTTTAGTATGCAACAACTTTTTAACAAATCCATCGTTCAGTTGATGGAAGGCACGGTTAGGTATCTGTGGAGTGTATCTCACACTCGAATCCGCGACCGTCCTTACAATTTGCGGGGCCCGTGGCATAGCTCTTTTAGCAGGGCTTAAAAAATGTAGTGCTTTCCACACAAAGGTAACTGCACTCTCGTAATCCAGTAATCTCGTAATCTTATTAATTCCTCTTCCATTTCAAATTGTAAACATACGTGAAATATTTGTACCTATTACTTTTACCAGTACCTCACCTAATATCTCACCTACCTTTATATAACCTGTTACCTTTATTTGATAATTAAATTTGCTTTTTACTGTGCTAATTTTAAACATCCAAAAACATATTTTGCATCATACACACATAATGATAAATAATTACAATTATTTATAGATCCCCTCATTAAATTTTTTTCTTGTTCTATTTTAGCTTTAGCTTTTATTGTTCTTTTCATTTTCAAATAAATATTTCCTATATATATCACTAAAGCTCGAATTTTATAACATTTACTAATTATTATAAGATAAAGATAAAAATAGCAGGATAAGATTTACATTTTATTTTATGCACCAGACTCTAAATATGAAATTGTATACTACTTTTTTTTTACATATTATTTGAAGTATTAGTGATTTGTATTGCTATTTTTCAAATTTTGGTGCTATTCTTTGCTATAATATACATAACACGATGATTTATTTTGTACTTTTTATAAATAGTAGAAACAATTCTATAATTTATATGGAACCTTACCTCATATTATAATTTATTTTTAAGTAGCCTAGCGTATTGTAGATATTTGTAGTTCACGAACGAATTAGTTCGAATGAACGATTCATATGATTTAATGAATCATTTGAACGATCCAACGGACAACGATCACTCAATATAGACGTATAATTCAGTGAATCATTAAAACGATTTCATAAAATTCGTGAAAATGAACTCACTATAACCATCACTAGAGAATTGACCAATCGAACATTCTACATTTACCTAATATAGATAATAGGTCAATTCACTCTAATATTAAAACTGCCATCATAGAGTTGTCCTTGTCAAATGAAAATTTTCTTTATCTTTGCTTATCTTTATTTGCTGTATATGTGTAACGGATAATATTATAACTAGGGCTGTGAGTTTGAAGGAATGTGCATTATTTTTAGATAATCGTGAAATGTAGCTTTCTAAGTACATAATTTGAATCATGTAACAACAAATTCGTTTATGAAACTTTTATTTTGCATTTCTTTGCGTTTTTTGATAGGTGGGCCACTGTTGTAGGTCAGAAGTTAGGAAAGTAGTAGAGAGGAAATTTAATGTATATCTGTACGCAACGATTAACCATTGCTAACAAAAAAACGATTCTGATCGGTTGATAACGTTGCTTTATCAACAATATAAATATCATATTATGGTAAAATAATTACATATATAATAAACATTTTCTTTATTAATATTCGTTTGATATGGTACCTATTTCCTGTTTTTTTCTACGTTTTTTCCCATGTATTGGGAAAACTCCTGGGAAAATCAAAATGATCTTCTTAAAGTACCTCTCCAGGTAGATTTCTAAAAAAGTGCTATCATTGGAAATCGGAGCAAAATTTTTGATAGAAAAGTTATTCACAGATTAAAAAAAAATAATAAAAACATAATTGTGAAACCAATAAATTCCTCACTCTACTCAGAATCTAAAGAAATAAAAAACAAATAGAAACGAAAAGACATTTTTGAAATACTTAAATTCATTGAAATATGGTGTCCATACAAGTGTATAAAGCTATTAGAAAAAAATAAATAAATAATAAAACTGACGAAATTATATTACAACTATATGGTTATAGTTTTTTCAATTTTAGATAAATATTAGGTATTAAGTAAATAAAAATATACAATTATTTTATTATGGATCAGCTGAATAGAAATGTAGACAGTACCTATTAAGGAAATATAATCTCCAGTGTTATTATACCGTACGTACAGGAACACGTATCTATGTATGTACTAAATATGACATGCATATAAAACAGCTAGATGCTTGAGTGCCTATACTATTCTATGTTTTAGTTTTTACAGAAAATAGCCACGTTAAATTATATCAAATTTATAATTTTGATGTTGTGTGGAAAATGTAAAATATATACAAGTATACAAGTATAGATATTTGTAAAGGTCAAAAAAAAAAAAATAATTGTAATTTCTTCTATATTACTGCATGACCGTAAGAAAGAGTTGGTGGTACATATATGCTTTGGCCGCAAAAATAACACGAAAACCTATGAATATTACGTTAAAAAGAAATTAATAAATAAAAAATGCTATCGTTGTAAATCGGAACAAAATTGCTGATAAAAAAGTTATCCACAGAAAAAAATAGTAAATAAACATCTTTGTAAAGCCATAAGCTATTCTTCGCTTCACTATCAGAATCTAAAATTTGATATTTAGAAAATTCAATACTGCGGTATGAGATATATTATAATTATATGCAGGATGAGTCACTAAATATGCTTACCCCATTTTTTTAGTTAAATTTTTCATTTATTCAAATTCTGATTTTTGGAATTTTTAAATGTAGTTAATGCCGATATTTTCAAATATTTAGATTTGTCACACCATTTAAAGAGTACTCTGTGGCTGTATCAACTTTAATTTTTTAAATCAGAATCTATATTAAAAATTCCATAAATAGATTTTAAATAAATTTTGATGTCAATATGCTTGAATTCCGTTAAATCGTTAAAGAGATATATTACTCTTAAGTTTAGGTAGGAGGAGAGTAGTGGAGCAATAATAAAACGCCGCGTACCATGTCACCACTCAAATAATACTCCACTACAACTTTCCTCCAACCTAAACTTAAAAGTGAAATATCTCGTTAACGATTTAACGGAAATCAAACATTTTGACATCAAAATTTATTTATCGTAATACTCCTTTTATTTAGGGGATTTTTAATATAGGTTCTCATTTAAAAAAGCAAAGTTGGTATCGCCACAGGATACTTCTTAAATGATATGAAAAATCGAAGTATTTGATGATATCAACTTTAACTACATTGAAAAATTTCAAAAATCAGGATTTGAATATAAGAAAAATGTAACCAAAAAAAAATAGAGTGAACACGCTTAGTGAATCATTCTGTATATAATTTCAAGGCTTCACGTAATCAATCCCGGATTAAGGAAGTGGGGGGGGGTTCTTAAAGGGCCATAGACCCGGGCCACCAGACTTCCAGGGCCTCAGTTTTCGCCACATTATGTTCTTTATGTATAAATTTAACCACTAATATTGTATGTTGATTTATTAATATTTTTTCATTGCCTGATAATGACTTATTAGAATTATTATAAAGTAGAAACTACTATACTATACTAACCATGTAAAAATAATATATTTAAAAAATACTTGTGGCTTTTAAATTGAGATATCCGTACTATTATTTCTATACTATTTATTTTATTGTGTTATTTAGCAATTATTCTAAAAATTTAATTTGCTTTTATCGAAAACTAGGTATACGAAATTGACTTCTTCCCGGGAACCAAAAATATAATATTATTCAATATATGCACGGGAAGGTATACTCTATAAATTATAATATAACATATAAATATACATATAAACATTTTTGAATATTATTAATAAATCTAATATGATTTGTGTATACGCACTCTTCAGGTTTTTCTTCAGGTTCGTTTTGCATGTCTCTCGTGTAAGTATGTTCTATTTATTAGGTTATTTTTCAATCAACGACTAATGTATAAAATATTATATTTTGTCACCGCATATGGCGTGTAGCACAACAACGTTTGTATTAGGATAATATTATTCGCGTTTATCCGAGTAAATGTTTGTTTTAAATATAATATATAACGTACATAAATAATATTCATAAATTCGAGCGAATAAAAAATTTTTATCCGACAACGTCGTATAATAGGTACTAACGGTTATTTATTTACTATTATTTTAATCATTTTTTCTTTCATATCACTCACACCCAACGGAGCGAATAATGTTACGTATTACGATAATTATACAAGGGTTATCGGTTACGAGTAAAAAATGAAGTCAAATATTTTATAAATATTACAGTCCACGAGATAAAATTATAATAATTGACAATATGTTAATGGTATGGGTGTATATCATACTATAATAATATTATGTTCACGTATAGGTTTATAACTATTATAATATCATAATATTAATATAAATATACTAAATATTGCTCACAGCCAAAAATGAATTACAAGTTACAATTTTAATATAATAATAATAGTGAATAGTAATATCAGTGATCTAATGTTATTTGTTAAGTACTCTATAATTATTAGGTTCTATATGTATTTTTAATTCTAAAAACCGGGTAACTTCGCATGTGGGTGGGCCACTATTGTTGGTAAAAAGTTGGAAAGGTAGGAAATAGACGAAAATTGAATGTATGTCTGCAAGCAACGATTGACCATTGCTAACGAAAAAACGATTCTGAGCCGAGTTCAGTAGATAATTTTGTTTTGTCAACAATATAATATATGGTATTATGACATATTATGGTAAAATGATTAAAACAATGTGCGTTTCCATGACAACAATGATTGTTTAAAAATATTAAAATAACAAAATCTTAATAATAACAAAAAATATATAAAAACGGTTGCAATGACAACCTTATTTTTAATCTTTCAATCTATTTTAACCTAAGGACCGAGGTTTTCCTCATTATCTCGAATATTAATGAGAATTTCAAAAAATAACCTTTCTAAAATATCATCCAGAGAAAATTTCCTTTCAGAAAAAATGCTATACTTGATAATCGGAGTATTCTTTCTGGTAGAAAAATTATTCACATAAAAAAAAATAAAGATTAATATCATTGTAAAACCAATACATTTCTCGTTCTACTCAGAATCTAAAATGTATCGTATAAATATAAGTAGGTACCTAAAAAACAAATTTTCACGCACACAAGAATAGATTTGTATTTAATATATAAATACTATTTGTGTTTGTAAAAACAATTCAGCCGGCGTAGGGAAAGTGGCGCTCCCATCACCCAGCACAAGCTACTTCATTAGCCACCCCTTGGCCTTAGTTAGCTGGAGGTTCTGGTCTTATAGGTTGGGGGTTTAGCGTAGGACTAACAATCTTACCTAGTAAAAACCTTGTATTATGATATCACATATATCGAAGCCTCAAAAGATCACGGATTAAAGACTGGAAAATGGAAACGGAACATTGAATTAAAAATAGTAACCTGGAATGTAACAAGCTTCTTTAGAACTGGCGCATACTAAAATTTAGCTGTTGTATTAAACACATATAAGATAGACACTGCAGTAATACAGGGGGTACTATGGCTAGACGTAAGTCAAATTGAAGTAGGCGAGTACGTAATACATTACTCTGGAGCACAGAATACACATCATTTTAGAAGTGGTTTTGCGGTGAATAAGAAGTTAATGCCACACGTCATTGAGTCTAGGCCGATATCAGATAGATTGTCACTACTTATGCTAGATACTTATACTAGAAGCCAATAAACACATGTATAGTAAACGTACACGCTCCAACGGAAGTTAGCGATCATAATAAAAAAAGATGACTTTTACGAAAATATATGAGGAAATACGTAAAAATTCAATAAAAATTGTAATGGGCGATATGAATGCAAAATGTAGTAGATAATCACAATTTATCCCCACAATTGGGAGAAAAATCCTACACAAACACTACAACGATAATGGGCTGAAACTAGTATCGTTTGTAGTAGCTGATAAGCAGTACTACATTTCCCCACAAAGAAACATGGAAATCACTGGATGACAGAACGAAAAACCAAATTGACCATGTATTAATCGAACGCAAATGTAGGAGTAGTAAAGTAGATGTCAGAAGTTATTGAGGTGTTAATGTGTTAAAATAAAGTTGAAAAGCTCAAAAAAAACTTAGAATAAATATTGAAATACTAAAAGATCTAGAAGTAAAATACAATATCAAATGGCTAATGACAATGCCATCGAAGAAATCGATGAGAACAATGCAGAGCTAGATTGGGAAACAAACCAGAAAACGATCATAAAAATAGCAGAACAGAATATTGGTGTATTGAAAAGGCCAAAGATGCTTAGTATAACAGTGGATGTCAAAAAGCTATCAAACAACGCCAAAAAGCAAGAGAATTGAGTTGAAACAGAATCAGTATTTAAGTCGGGGTAAGTTTTAATATTAGGCTGATTTGGTAAGGGATTTAAGAAAGAATTAGAATGAGCTTTAGTAAACGGTTTAGAAGTGCAAGAGGTGAATAACGGTTATGGCTTGTCAAGACATTTGTTTTTTAATTTTTCGGTTTCGGAGAAATATTTAGAGATTTGGGTGGCACGGTAGACTAGCCAAAGTTGCCTCCTGTATTTTTTTTTTTATTTCGTTTGTGGAACAGTCTTGATAAGGTTATCTTTGGCATTTGAAGAATTTGATTGTTAGGAGATAGTGGAGGTTTGTTGCCCTAACCCATGTTTCAAGGTTCAAATGATTTGAATATGAACACTGATTAAGATACTTTATCCGTGGAATTTTAATGAGGTTTATATTAGTGAGTAAATAAAGTAAATAAAAATAAACATATTACCTAATTGTGAAACTGGCTCAACGCAGTAGATGAGACAAGTTGCAGAAACGACAGTACGTCCACTCACGAGCTAAGTAAGCGCTAAACTGTTTTGTTCCTATATTAATATAATAATGGGCCGCGTTCCGAAATGTTAATGAGACGGGCTGCTTATATTACTTTCACTCACACACTCCCACAGCAAGGGGTTTTTATCATTAATTAGTAATTATATTTCACAATAATAACAACTCAATCAACATATTTGTATTTGAACTTTGTTTATCAAAAAAATTTCATGTAGGTAAATCAATACAATTTGATATTATTATTATCGAATTTTTCACGAAATTAAAAAGATAAAAGACGGTATATACCTAAAGGAAAATCGTACCAGGATTAAATTAACGAAACTTATACATTTCCGACATAAATAAATTCAATTGAGTACCTCCTATTATTATACCAAATTTTCATAAACTAGAGTTGTGATTTATATATACATTTATCTACTAGGTGATTTTTTTTATCATGAACCAGCAATTATCTCAGAAAATTTTAAGTGAATTTGATTTCCATTTTTTCTAATCATTATGGAATTGTTTAAGCTTTATTTTAAAACCATTTTTATTTTTTACCCCTACTTCATATACCTTAAATAAGTGCATACTTTTGATTTTGCAATAGTAACCCCCTCTTTTGAATACTGATTTGAATAGACACTATTTGTCTAGAAATTTTGATATGCATAACACTAATATCAGATTTACCGTTTATGAGTTATAACAGTTAAAAGTTTAGACTGAAGGAGTAGGGAAGGGTAATAGATGGGCAATTTATCACCCTTTCCTATGGCCTTCTACTATATCAGTTGTAATTTGAGATTACTAATTAAAATTGTGTATTATTAAAAGCAATATTGTAAACCACTATATTGTACATATTATAAAGTTTTCACAATATTGAATCATTGAAATTACTTAATTTTCATACTCAGCCACTCGGCCATGATAAAACAATGTACCTATAGTAATAAGAAATGTCTAACAAATGAGAATTTAAAAATAATAAATGTAGATAGGTACTCATTCCAGGGATTACATGGAATGCACAAGAGTATGCAATAAAAATATGTTTCAATATACGAAACAATTTTAATCAATGTCTATTAATTTATTCATTCTTGTAATTAAAAACAGAAACTTTTCATTCACTGTTCATACCAAATGACTGAAATTTTGGAATTTAAGCAATGATTGATAAACTGTGGATTGTACTTCAAATTATGATTTTTAGCTCAATACACTTCCTAACAAATAAATTGTTATCATTGATAATAGTCTAGTCTTTTTATTATCACTCAAAAACATGTTCTTTTTTCCAGTTTCCAATAAAAATCTAATAATTATAATTTGTTTTGTAAATATACCATAGGTGGACACCAATTAAAACATGGGCATCATAAGTATTATACAAAAACATGAATCGAAAATAAATTATTTTTTTTTACTAAACACTTGTTTTTTATTTAAAAAAAAATGGAACCTAGGTAGTTTGAAATTATAGAAGTATTGCCTCAAATTAATGATTAGGTACTCACAAGTACTAAGTAATTATCAGTACCTATAAGTCTTATATTTTAATACAGGTATGTATGGTATGACATGTAATATAAAGTACATTACATTTATTATTAATTGCTATTTGCAATAAGTAATTGGTATTACAGTAAACAATGGAAATATAGGTAGGTAAATAATTATACAATTATATGAAAAAGTTGCCAGTTTGAAATTTCATTACATTATGATAGTTATAATAAATTATCGTGTGTATTAAAATTGGATGTCTATACTATAAAACGTTCTAAACATGTTGTAGATTGAAGATAAAATAAATAGAAATGTTATTCTTATCTATCATTATGTATGAAATGTAATGAATATAAATTACCTACATCAGATAGCTAAATAGGGAACTCTGTACTTAACTGCCAATAATATTAAATATTATATGATTGATAACTGTTTTAATTTGTCGAGCTCATTGGAAAAAATTAAAACATTATAATAGCAGTATTATAACTTGACAAAATAAATCTAAGTATTTTTAAAATGACTTTCAATGTGGGACGTTTTTTTTCGCGTGTTTTATCCAAATACCGCCCGTCTACCCTTGGGTCCTGACGACTAACCGCATTTTGAATACAGATTCTGAACCTGCATTTCTTCAACGATATTTTCGTCCATATTAGAACTTGGAAAAATAAATCTAAGTATTTAATAAGTAACTCCCAGAGTAGAACGCTGTTACCTGCCCTGAGTTCTGGCAGTCTTTCATTCGGCTTCTTATCATACATTTGTGCTAATTTAATGCCTATTTAACGTTTTAATAGCTTTTTTCAACTTTGGAAACCACTGGGCTTTCTTATCATTTATTGCTAACAGAATATACGTAAATTATCAAGATAATAGCTGATACATTTATTGTTTTGTTTAAACTAATGGTATTTTTTAAATTAAAACTTACTAGTAGAATTGTAATTTGCAATAGCTTAGAAGTATAATTAATATTCGAATTTTACCATCTAGTATAACACATTATTTTTGTTTATCTAAATAAACTAGGTACAAGCAGAAATGATAGATGTTAACTTGTGTCGACTCTGCGGAGTATTCATTAACACCTCAGACAGGTTCTTAATTTATGAAACATCAAACGATAATGAAGCCCCTATTGCTGATATAATCAACCGCTACATGCCTATTCAGGTAAATAAACTTTTATGGTGACTTGCTTATTATATTAGAAATGTATATGATATGTTATGAGTTTAATACAGTAGAATATAGAGACATCACTTTTTATTAAATAAATAACATGTAGGTAGTTGTAAACTATTGACTTGAAACCAGTAACAGTGAAAGTATCAGAGGTTTAATGAAATTGATAATGCACTTATCTACTTTTTTTTTTTCAAATAAGAAAAATATACTTAGTAGAAGTTCACTTAAAGTATATTTTTAAAATTTAAGCCTGTGCTCATTTACAGTAGAAATGAAAATATTATAAAGTTACATAGGTACCTAGTACATAGGTCAAATAAATTATAAGTTGTTACATTATTCTGTAGTTTTAGTGAAAAATTGTGTGTATGCTCAATGCTTATATTTTTTGTAAATATTTACATCTATTTATGTATATGTATAAAATATTAGAAAATCCAAACTGATGTATAATAAAATTGGGTGTACGTTCGTAGTTCATTCAGCTTATTACTAATATGGCTGTAGAACAGATAATTATTGTTTAGATCCTTTGAGAAATTCTCTGTTGATTAACAGTGTATCAAGTTCATCTTTGGACCAATACTTCAATACATAACTTACAATACATTCATCTCTCAATATCACCAATTCTTATGTAAACATAATCAGTTTGAGTTTTTTTTTTTTTTACCTTAATGAAAGTTGTAAGAAGTTTTATTTTCGGGTTAACATAAAATAATTGTCTTGATTTTTTTTTTTGCTAAAGCTGCTGGAAATTTGGTATAGGGTAGTGCTAACTTAATTTAGGTGCATATATTATTATTAGTTAGGTATGTTGGTTTCATAATAAAGTATAAATATAATATAATTTTAATGATATTTTGTAGATTTATGTTTGTTTGTTTTACAGGTATCTGACAATGATGAATATCCAAAAATGATATGTTGCAATTGTAAAAAACAGTTGGAAAAGATTAAAACATTTTTCCATACTGTGAAATTAGGACAATCGTATCTCAAATGTTTTTATGATGAGTTTAAAAAGAATTCTTCAGAAAATGCTGATAAAAACTCAAGTAATATTGAAAAAGCTAACCTTGTGTGTGATGAGAATTACTTATTTGTATCTGTTGAATTATTGGCTGATGAAAATGGCATTGAGTCTCATCCTATAAATAATTATGGTAAGGTTTGATCTTTGATATAAAAATAAAATTGAATAATATTTGAAGTTATTTATTATGGTTTTTATCAGATAAAAGGCCAAGTACTAATATAATAAATGAAAAAAATGGCAACAAAATAACAAATGTTGATAAACGAGTTCAGTGTGAATATTGCCAGAAAACATTTGCTCATAAAAAAGGACTTGTCACTCATTTAAAAATACATAAAGGTACCATTAATTAATGATTATCAGTTCAATTGTTATTTGTTATATATCAACAATATTGGTTTTCAGGAAAATTAACTCATTATGGTTCTATTCATAATATTAAGTTTATGTAACTTTATAAATATCAGAAATATTTTTGTAAATTATTAGCAGGACTTGGATGTATTAGCATATTTGCATATTATTTTTAGTGACTCCTAGAACATTCTGACTGAAAAATAAATTTGTTTCTTACTTCACTGATATCATATATATACGTAATTTGTTTGCATATTTAGGACTTATAGAACTATTTTTCTAATTAAGCTTTGTTCTGATTTTAAAATAGTACTATTAAACACATCTGAAAGTTGACACGGTCTAGTAATTAATACATAGTAACTATAATACTAAAACAATACTATATAAATATAATCATCTGAAAAATATTGTGTTGCTATCACTGATTTAATTGGACAATTTTGTTTGTTTCTAATATTTTTGATATTTTCAAAATCACCTCAGTTGTATCATACTGCAACATAATATGATTTAATTTTGTAAAGTTTAATTGAGAAATTTTATTTTACATACTTACCAATTTGTAGTGTTATTACAGTAATTATTTTGGTGATTTTAAGTGCATAATAAAAGGCTACAAAATTATTTTATTGCTAATACTTCTAAGCCTCTGATTATTAGTTGTATTTTAATTGTATATTACATGTTTAGGCAAAAAAAACTTTGAGTGTAACGTATGCAACACAAAGTATTACCAAAGTGGAAATTTGATAGAACACATGCGGATACATACCGGAGAGAAACCTTTCCAATGTGATTATTGTTTTGTAACATTTAGAACATCAAGCCAGGTTTGCATATTTGAATAACCTATTTATTTAAATATAATTCTTGAAATTAAATCATGTAACAGTCATAAAATATAATACAATACAATACGTGTATAAATTTATAATATTATTATTTGAATTATAAAAAAACAAAAAACAATTGGGTTAGTAATTTATTACTTATTTTTATAGTATACCTTAAAAAACACAGATTTTTTACCTATAAGTACATATTTTGACAAATTTTTGAAATTTCCAATAATTTTCTTTTTCTTAAAAAACTAATTTTGTTTATTATAATATTCAGATTTTTTCAAAAAGTACCTTAAAAGATTCAGAATTTTTGTCCTTTGGTACTTTACTTGAAACACTTTAAAAATGATCAGCATTTAATAATATTATATCTGCATTTCTCGTATTTGTTTATCTAAGAGACAATATATTGAACATGTATTTTTGATAATGCAGTCTTTTGAATTGTTTTGATAAAAAAATTTATTTATACAATTTATTTATTTATTAACAAAATTGTTGAGAATAAGTTTTTTTATACTGTATAAGAGGCAGTTTTCAATAGTTTTTCAACTTTAAATATTTCATTAACTGTGGTTTAGAAAAGTATTTTTTACTGCTGCCTTATATTGTATTATCAAGTTTTATAATTTATTAGAACCTTTACAATTTTTTTTTTTTAGTTGAAAACTCATATACGCAGTCATAATGGTGATAAGCCTTACAAATGCTCATTGTGTAAAAAATCATTCTCGTACCATAATTCTCTAAAATCCCATTTAAGACGTCATAACAATGATCGACAATTCACGTGTGAATTTTGTCCTAAGTCATTTATCGATCGTACAGCACTCGTGAGACATGTTCGTATACATACAGGTAAATAAAGACTTTTTGAAATACTTCAACGATTTACTTTTACTATTCAACTGAAACTAAACAATATAATTGTTATTTTTTTTAAGGTGTAAAACCATATCATTGTGATATTTGTAAAAAGCAGTTTTGTACAATTTCATACTTAAAAAAACATAAACAGGTAATGTATTAAGAAAAATCAATTTATTTTCATTTTAATTTACATAAATATAAAGTAGATAGTGTTTATATTGAATAATGTTATTATTTAATAAATAATACAATAAAACATTAAAACTTGATTGATTAACCAAATTTCGTACTTATTTTATAAGCCATAGAATATGGACACAAAAATAATATTTATTGAAAAAAAACTATTTTTTATAGATGCCTTTAATATAACTTTAAATAATTTTTACTGTATAATATATGTAATGAATTTAACTACTCTTTATTTAAAAAAAAAACTAAAATAATGTATGGCAAATACATTATTACTAGAAACTTAATATTCCTCAATATAAATATTCTTTTAAATTTTAATTGTAAATTGGCTCTTAGAATAATTTTTAATAATTGTATAGTTTTATGAAATAACACTCATTTTTTCTGATCAACATTTTATACATTTATGTACTTATATTTTATGCTTTTTACTAATTGAATTTGTCAAAATATATGGACAATAATATTGTAGTTTTATAATATTTACATTATAGTTTAAAATAATAATACAATTAAATATCATGAAAATGGGTTCCAAGAGAAACAAAATGAATCTACATATATTTTATTATTCCATAAAATATTTAAAAACTAAGTGTTAAAATAAGTATTCAGCCAGAATTTAATTTTTAATTTTATATTTAAAACATTTTTTTTAAATAATAAGTACATTTATTCATGTTGTCAATTTTTTATAATTTTTAAAAATATTTTATAGAGTCATATTAACGACAAAAATTCAACAATGTGGGAGCTCACCACAAAATTTCAAAAAACTGCTTCAAATATTGACTGTATAAATTCTTCATTAATCAACAATAATGAATTGGATTTAAATATCGACGTTAGAGTTGATGATTTATTTTTAAGTTCAGAGGAAGTCCAGGTATATTGAACTATTTATTATTTAAATGACTGAATATATGAAATAAATCATAAAAATATGTTTTATATTTTAGAATCTAAATGATGTTTTACCGCCCGGCAATGATAATAACTTGGATGATCTACTAAATATAAACACTTCATTTCAATCTCTAAATTCTATTAATTTTAGTGAATCAGTTTTAGGGTTAGATGATAATAATGTTTCTTAAGTTAAATATACATTGTAAAATACTAATTTAAAAATTGTTTAGATTCCGAATGTAATGAGTAGGGCACGGATTTAAATGAACTTAAAATCCACAAAAAAGCGCTTAACAACATCAAAAGAGCTCTACAAAATTGCATAAAAAATATTTAAAAGAGCAATAAAGGCAGATAAGTTTAACAATTTCTCCTTCTATGGTTTTTAACTTATTAGAAAAAATTTTTTAACACTAAAATACTGTTTATTTCAAAGACATTTTTTTCAAATAAATTTAAACGTGTTATAAAAAATAAAATGCTTTATTTTAATTATTTGTCAGTGTTAGAAAAATGTATTTAATGGGGTAAGAACTTTTGCTTTTGCTTTTTTAAAATATTTTTAAATGCTTTTTACGGATTTTAAGTGCATTTAAATCCATGCCTTATTAATGAGGAATGTATTATTATTATTTTTTTTAACTTATGTATGAATACTGCAGAGAATAATAATTATAAACTCGTAAACAATAATATGATATTGAAATTCCAGAGTTCTAATGACCATATATACGTTAAAAGCAGTTGTAAAATTAAAAAAAAAAATGATTTGGTGATTAGAACTACATTTAATAAAAATAATATTAGTAGATACGGTTACAGTATGATTATTGAATAAGAAAAAAAGCTACATGCACAAATCAACAATAAAATAATCAGATATCATTAAGTGCAATAATAATTTATCTCTATTTTTTTTCTCTTTTTAAGATTTTAAAGGCCTTACATATATTAAATGAATTCATAATTTACTCTGTCTGCCCAACAGTGTCTTAGACTGTCTTGGTTTTTTCCTATTTAATTTCAAAACCAAGACTTTTAATTAATTTAGGCAGCAAAATTAAAATTACATAATAAAAATATTGAGTATTTTCGATTATCGTTTCCATACTGATTAATTTATATAATAAAACTTAAAATATGAATTTGTATACTATTCATTTTAATCACTATTATATTAATAATACTATTTGTATTTTGCATCCTATTTAAACATGGCATGTGCATTTTATTTGTATCCTTTAGTATTAATTATTATAATAAATAATTCCTATTTTTGTACTTTGTGTTGTCCTGATAATTATAATAAACTTGTTAGTTTATTTTAAACATCAAAATTAATATATTTTATTTCATTTTAAATATGCAAATTATATAGGTAATATACTGTATAAGATAATATTATTAACTTGATTATGTTTGTAATTTCTTATACACCCGGTTTTATTTCTGTGTAATTAACATCTTTAAGATATAATTTGTATGATGTTCAGCTTTAGGAAAGTTGTCTATTTTGAAAACCCAAATGTTTAAACAATGACCAGCAGCAGCAGGTAATTAGGCTATGTTGGATATATGTATTTTTTTAATATAAATCAACTTATCATATTTATATATCATCAAAGGCCACATCTTAGGCACATATACTAATTGTCTGGAACCCTGTTAGCGTTGAAGCAGCTAACATTGTTATTCGCGATCAAAACAATCAATGGTATGTAAATATTTCAATTGGACATTTAATAATAGTTTTGAAAGAAAACGGTATATATTACACAGAATATAAATGAAAATAAAATAAAATTTATAACACTTCCAGTGTTTTAAATGCATTTATTTCATTTAAGTCATTACTTATTTCTTTCTACTTCTTGGTCCATAGTTGATACATATTCAACAGATTTTCAAGTTTTTCATTCATCAGATATTACATCTTAAAGAACTTTGTCAATTTGTTTTTAGCATCATTCTTATTTTTCAAAAAGTTTGCAATAGGTAAGATCTGGAGGTTCTTGACATATTTCTAGACTTTAAGAAAGCTTTTGACTCCATTGATCATGAAGTGCTACTTAAGAAGTTATCTTATTGTGGTATTAGAGGGAATACCGTACTTTTGATAGAATCATTCATTTCAAATCGACCACAGAAAGTTAGATTAGATAATGAATACAGTGATGATTATATAAATGCTTTTTCAGTTCCACAGGGCACCCTGCTTGATCCTATATTATTTATAATATATATATAAATGGTATTTTTAAATTTAAAACTTGATTTTGAAATGTATTGCTATGCAGATGATACTGTGATCCTGTTAAGAGATAATAATTATAGTGATTTAATGAGTTTGGCTAATAATTACTTAGATAAAGTTAAATGCTGGTGTGATAATAACTTACAGCTCAATTAAAATAAGTCTAAGTATATTATCTTTAATATCAATAAAAATATAATTAATTGTTCAGATATATCTCTGTGCTCATTGCATACCTTTAATGAGAGTTGATCGTGTCAAATATCTTGGTGTTTTATTGGATTAAAGGCTTAAATTTAATGAACATATTTATTATATAAATAACCTAGTTAGAAAATTATTTTATAAGTTTAAATTACTTCGCCATATATTAGACAAAAATACAATACGAATAATATATATAGCTCTAGCACAATCTATTTTTAAATATGGTGCAATTGTGTGGGGTAGCTCTTAGAATGTTCTTATTAAAATATCATCTGTTACTATTAACTACTTAATTCAATTTATTTTATTCAAGCTAAGTTTTTATCCTATAAACTTAATTCATAAAAATCTTAATGTGTATAATTTTCACAATCTATTTGTACGTATTAACTTAATCTACATGTATAAAGTTGACTTTATCTGGATGAATTTTTAGTGAATCATAATTATAGTGCTAGGTCTAAGCTAAAATGTAACTTAAATGTTTCTATTTGTTCTACAGTTGTAAGTTCAAAAAGTCCAATTTTTAATGGCAATTGCTTTGTTACACAAATTCAATATTATAAAGGATAATTTAAATATCTCTAAGGTTTTCAAAAAAAAAATCAATAATATTTTTAAAATATAGTAAATTGTATATCACTTAGGTGGTACTATTTATTTAAAAACTTTTATTTGTTTTTTTTTCTCTTTTAAACAATTTTTTTTTTGTTAATATCGTTATGCAAGTACATTTAACATTTGTTATTATTTTAAAATTTTTTTTTTCTTTTCTCTTCACTGCAGGATATTTAACTCAACCCAACTGTTTACAAGTTTTGCTTTTTGGTTGGATTTTGCAGCTTAATTTTTTAATTTATAAGATATGTTAAATTCTTTATGTTTGCAAAAATAAATACATAAATATTATTTATTATTATTTAAGATGTATGTAGGTACCTAGGCATTTTATAAAATTAAAATTGTTAAACCACACTAAATTAATTGTAAGAATTGACAAAAAAAAAACATTATGTATTGTTCCCATTAAAGATATTTAACTGTCTTGTATAATATAATAGGTAGGTACCTATAAAAAGGTACCTTATATTAAAAAGGTATTTTTAACATTTTATTAATACTATTTAAATATTTAAAATGTTGAACTTATGTTTCCACTGTAAATTATATCATTACCGTGGGCTGGAGCACATTATCAAAGATATACCCGGGTCCGGCCTATTTGACCGTTGTGTGGGAAAAATGGTTACTCAGTTTTTGAACAATGTTGTCGACCTTGATTTGATTGGGCCGTCTGATATACACCTTATCGGTCACAGTCTTGGTGCTCATGTTTTCAGAGTGACCGGTGCTGCCTTCACTTTGAGGCAAATAGGCAGAATTACAGGCGAGTGTGCCTAAGTGATAAGACAAAACTATTCTGATAAACAATATAAAGTACCTACTTTATGCAGGTCTGAACCCAGCTGGTCCTGGATTTGGAAGTTCAGAATGGGATACTCAATCATTAAGCAGCACAAATGCACAGTTTGTGGACGTGATCCATGCATCGGCCGGAAGTTACAAATGTTTAATTACAAAATGTGTAATTAATAACTATGATTCTATTTCATATTTGATCTTATATATTTCTATACATTACATTATCGCCATACCGGTGTACATAAATATCGAAGAATTAGACTGATATAAGTATTATTATAATTTTATATTTTCATTATATAACAGTAGGTAATATATTTTGTTTAAATGAATATTAAATTGTATAATATATTAATGTGACCGAATGACTTCATGATAACTGTGAAAACAGGTCCCTCAAGTTGTATTTAAATATTAAATAAAACACCCACCTTAAAAAAATCCTGGCTACGCGACTGGGATCCTCTGGAATAGTAATTACAATATTGATGAATGATTTTTAAGGTGATCGAGGATAAACAAAGAAGACATCTATGCAAATATATATGCATTTAAATATTCTACAGGTGATAAAAGCACGGTTTGAAAAAAAATTTAAAAAATCATTTTAAGTAGACTAGCAGATTCACCCCCCGAAATTCTTAAAGTCAATCATTTTATATCTGGAGTCTAGCGGAGAATTTGTTTGTTTTACAATGATGTTTATTTATTTTTATTATTTTTTATCTGTGAACCACTTTTACACCAGAAATCTTGTTCCGATTTTCAAATTTATTATCTTTTCTAAAAAGACATTTTATCTGGATGGTATTCTAAGGAGGTAATTTTTTGATTTTCCTAGCAATTTTCATAATAATTGAGAAAAACGGAAAAATGTACGTACATTTATAGAAGAAACTTTGCTCTGAATCGTTTTTCGTTAGCAATGGTTTATCATTGCGTACAGATATAAATTAAATTCCCCTCTACATCTTACTTTTTTAACTTCTCTCCGACAACAGTGACCTACTCATCGTGCAAAGTACGTCCGTCTTTTTTAATTGCATATAATTTAAATTGATCATAGTTAATAAATAGTTCCTATCAATTTTAAGGTAAACAAATTAAATTCGTTTTCAAAATATTCTCTTTTACAATTTTGATCTATAAAAAAATATCTTTTCTTTTAGTAAAAAAGGTATTTTTTTTTCTGGAGGCTCATACTATTGCACCTCCTATTAATATCAAGGATCGTGTACTGCAATATTTCAATTATTGATGATGACGTTGATCGAGGAAAAAATACAGCCTACGTGGGAGTAGAAGATCTTAGCAGACAAAAAACAACATTTGAAATTAACATTTTTATCACATGTTATGAATACCAAAAATAAATTGTAGACAGTGTATGAAAATATAATATATAATCCACCGATTATTTCGAGTAGTATAATTAATACCTATAACAGCTGATAATAATAGATTCATATTACTTATTGGTAGATATTTTATAATTATTAAGTTTATGGATAGTTATTAGTTACCATCAAGGTTACAAGTCGAAAGGAATACAAACTGAAGAATGCATACTCTGCAGAGCAATCGTCTAGCCCATTATACATTTACACATTCTGTCAGATGTTATTATATAGATTTACCTATCACTTATTAAGAAAAAAAAATATATAATATCCTTTCAATGACAAGTAGATAATGAAAAAAAAATTATGCGAGTAGGTTAAAAATTAAAAAGCATTAAAACATTGGTTTTTTTTTTTGCCACAAAGTAGACAAGTATGGGGAAAAAAGCAGAAAAATTGTATAAAGTCTTTTTTCTGGAAATACCACTGAGTAATAAAAAAATAAGTTATTTGGAATTTCACGAGAATACTAAAAGTATATTATTTGCAATCGTTTTAGCATGACATAAATTTCGATATCGTACTGTTAGATTTGTTTTATCATGTCGAAAAAGTAAGCGTTTCCTTTTCGAACATTGATAATACTACAGTTTTATACATAGTGTTACATGTTTAATTAAAATAGTAATTAAAACATGACTTAATGTATGTACCTAGATATTTTTAATTCTTCCCCAAAAAGCTTATAATTATAAACGTCACACAATCGCCCTGCATTGTATAGACAGTTCGTTGGCATAATATAATAATGTAATAGATGCAAAAAAATATACAAAACGTAAAACTACCGGTCGGGACTGGTATTGGGACTGGTGAAATTTATGTTGTTAAAAATTAAAATAAAATATTATCATCGAGGTAACTTACCAACAACTCAATACCTACAATTTATATTGTTTTAATTTAGAATATTTAATTTAATTTGTCTTTACTTTGTACCATTACTACATATTTTGATGGTTACCGGTTTTTTTTTTTTTTTTTAAACAAAGAAATTTATGATTTTTAAAGTGCTTTGAAGTGTGTTTAAATATTTGCATGGTATAAATGTTTTATTATTTGAACACAACAAAATCCTAATATTTCTATTGCGAGTTCGTTAAGCTTGTCTGACCTAAGATGGGCGAAAATAATAAATTCACGAGTTTAAATAATCTGCGTTGCTTTATAGAAGCTAAAGCCGTGAGCGTCGAATAAGGATAAAATCGTGAACTAAATACTAATAGTTTTTTTATAAACATAATTGTAAATAACCTTCTTGGTTTATCACCGGAAATATTATATTATATTTATAAACCCATAATTAGTGTAAAAACACGACTCACATAAAAATTTTACGTACTGTAAAATAGGTACAGACAGTGGCATTGGGCTCTAAGATGACTTCTGCCCCCTTATTATATTAATGTACAAAAAAATAATAGTATAAACTGTGGTGCATCACCGGGGAAAAACAAGTAACAACAAAAATGAAATTTTTATTTTTATTTGTTCCCATTTTTTCCATTTTTAGAACAGTTTTGAATCATTTTTCTATGGTTATATTTATTAAAATATATACTGAAATTTTAATTTATAACAATATGTTGAACGAGTAATTAGTTTTTTTAAATGGTCCATATGAAAACGTGTTTAAGTATATAAATTGGGGCTGTTTTTATTTGGACGAAATTTATATGGAAACAATGTACGTGTCAATTTTCATAATAGGTGTTCAGGTGTTCAGGACATCCAATGTGTTTAATATACCTACCATCGTTTTGGCGAGCTGAAGACCGAAAATTATATGAATATACCCTACCTATGGGAACGAAAACGTGTTCCTTCTCATTTATAGAGACTTTTAAAACTCTAAGTTAATTTTAGATGTACTTGCTATAATAATAAAAAAAAATTATGATTTATATACTACATTTATTCTATGCAAACATATTTCAATGTTATAAAAGGCAATTAAATCGTGATTGTACTATTTTTACTACATGATGATTATAATAATTGATACTATGAATATATTAAGATGTTCAACCACTCGTGTGATACGGTAAGTACCTGCTAGACAACGAAATAATATTATAATACTCTAAGGTTTTTTTTAAGGACAAACGTAAAACATATACATTTATATACAAACATACATTGGTAAATTCAAGAAACAGCGAGAACAGATCGCCGGTTGTAACCATTCGGTCGTTTAGTTCGCAACCGGACTCACCGTTATAGATACCTAACTATATCGGCTATACCGCTTTATTCCGAAACTCGGCACGGAATAAACTGCATTATTTACAATTTAATATCGCTATGTCTTGAAAACGAAAATGTTTGCTGGGTCAAGAATTATAACCGTCATGCTGTTTCTGACGGCGCTTTTTTCGGGGATCAAATGGACCGACGGTACGTACATGGAAAATATATTAATAGTACAGGTAATTTAAGACATATAAATAAAAAAAATAATTATTTTTACACGAAAAAATGGCTGAAGTATTTAGCCTTTTGTCGCCCGTAATAATATATAAATTTAGATTCCGAGAGTAGCGATGGAGCTATTTGTTTTACAATGCTGTTTTTTTTTTTTTATTTGTTTTTGTCTGTGGACACGTCTTTTCCTAGTAAAATTACTCCGATGTATGAGTGTAGCACTTTTTATGAAAGGTCAAGTTGTCTAGACTGTACTTTAGAGGCTTGATTTTCGACGGCATATTTTAAATAAAAGCACTTAAGTAGGAAAAAACGTAGGAAATCGTAAAATTTCACGATTTCATTATTTTATAAAAACACAGACGACGTTTTCTACCAGAAAAAATGGTTTAATCGAAAAATCACAGGACACTTTTTTTGTAGCTTTTTATTTAATTTTTTACAGTATCATCGTCAAATCTTTTGAGCTTTTAAAGAATTTAAATTTTTGGGAGGTTTTTTACTGTAATTTGGTTATAAATACGTGTAGAGATTTGAAACTTGGTAATAATACTTATATTGGATATACCTAGACGTGGTTAAATCATCGGACGTTTTTTTTTTTTTATAAGCGTTTTGAAATCAAGTTTAAACGAAAATCGCAAAAAAAAATAATGGCACTTCAAATTATGTGTTACCGAACTGCGTTCGGAATCGTCTTTTGTCAAGCAATGATTTATCGTTGATTACAGATATAAATTAAACAACCTTATGTGTCCTACCTTCCCAATTTCTCACCTAAAACATAGGCCGCTCCCATCCTCAGTATTAGCTCTTTTAAAATAATATTTATGTATATTTATATTCTATTTATATGAAATAACATGTCCTGACTGATTCATCAACGCCCAGCTCAAATCACTGGACGGATCGGGCTGAAATTTGGCATACAGATAGCTATTATGACGCAGTCGTCCGCTAAAAAAGGACTTTCGAAAATTCAACTCCTAAGGATGTAAAGTAGAGGTTTTTAGGTATATTTAGTACGAACATCTAATTACTTATTTATTTATTTTTGTTTATTCAAGGGTTGCCACGGAAAAGGAAACTATTATAATTATTATTAATACTATTATTTACACTTTTCAAATTTTACAATAGGAAACATTTAGTCCACTGAAGGTGAGACCATCTACCCACTTTCTACATATTTGTTTTCATTCAATTCTGACACGACCAAAACCAAAAATGAATATGGGTAAAATAATAATAATTAAAATTGGTGTGGGCAACACCGGGCGTGGTACAGCTATTATATATACACATATGTTTAAAAACACATGCATAAAACGAATTGAAAATTAAATCTTAATGGAAAATGCGAATAAAAATGATTATACATTTAAGATTGGGATGCTATTTTATATATAGACGGTGGCATAAAATGGTGGAGGCAGAGACACATTTTGGCGGCGGGATTTTGTCCTAGATTCTATGGTAGAACACCTTTTATAAATTAATTTGTGGGAACCATGTAAATAGCCTTACAATGATCTAATCAATACCGCTGTAAACTAATTGAGTCCCAATAACTGGACGGAAAAAAAAAAAATATACTAATTGAGCATCGAGTATAAACGAAAAATATACTTGTCCGTGGTTAAGAAACCAAAAATATACTAATTGAGCCCGAGGATTATTTTGAGCAAAATATAAAATCAACAATAATATATGAATGGTGACGACTACATGATATCGTTCATATCATCTTAGGAATTTCGTCAAATAATAATAATAATAATAACAGTTTTAACACATATATTTAATTATACACAAGTAACATTTAAATTATTCAAATTATAATGAATTTTTACCAATTTAAAAATGTAATGTTGATGTTTTTTTTTAAAGTTTGACGGGACTCAGTATTAAAATATGGACTCAATTAGTATATGCCTAAAAACAACCCCAGGACTCAATTCTTCATAAAAAGTTTTATTGGAACTCAGTTCGTATGTAGCCATTAATACACCATTGAGGAATTAATATTTTAATTTTCCTTGTTGTTTCAATTATACTTGGAAAAACCGACATATTTACAGTATTAAAAGTTTTATTATTTTTATTATATTTGTTTTTTCACTAAAAATATTGTACCAAAATTCAAGTTTAGCATTTTTTTAGAAAGAAAATTTTGTCTAGTTGGTGTGCAAGAAAGTAATTTTAGTACGATAAACCGGTAAAATCTACGATAATAACAGCTTCATAATTTCCGGATTTATTAGTTTGTTATAATTCAGTTAAAAATAATTGTAGGTACAAATTTACTTTAAAAACTTGTATAAGCCTTTTCTAAACGTAGTCAAATTTTCAAAATATTCTGGGGATTTTTGAGCTATTTATAGACATTTGAAATTTTCGAATATTTTTAATTTTATTTGGTTTTATGTGAATAAATTGTTTGATCAAACAGAAATCCTTGAAAATTCAATACGAGATTAATTATATGTTACACTTAGTTGCAAAACAAATAAAATATATGTAATTTAGTAGTTTTTAAAAGCTGTTTAGTTCAAATTTTATCGAAAATCTTGTATTTACGATATTTTAATATATGTTTCGCTCAGAATCTTATTTTGTCACTTGTCAGTGACAATTAATCTCTTTGTATAGATATAGATTAAATAACTTTATATATACTAAGTTTAGAAAGAATCCTTATTTTTATGCTTCCATCAAACTTCCCCATCCGTCCGTTTCTTTCTCATATCTGTCGTCCTTAATCACTCTATCCATCCATTGTTGATGGGTGCATCTTTTGAACCCGTTTCGGTTGTACGTTCTTAGTCAGAACGTTTAAAATAAGGCTTTCATAAGATCTTTGTCGTAACTTTTTCATTTCAATCCCTTTGCCTTAAAATACTTTTAAATGTTTAGTTTGTTTTTCAGTGTTTTTCGTTAAAAAATTACCATTTTTTTTTTATCCCCTTGGATGGTGGACCAAGTTTTGCATGCATATGTACATTGCTACTGGGTTAAAATTAATGTAACCATGATTTAAAAACAATTGTAACAATGATTTTAAAATTACTGCCCTAGGCTTCAGCCTACTTAGCTGAATTAATTCGATACTGTGTTTAATATCGAACAGTATACCTAAAAAAATAAGCCAATTGTGTTTCCTTTTTAGCACGGAAAACGCAATTTGTTCCCCAAAGTTTAACGAACAACTCCGACATCGGTCAACACGAAATTACCAGCCAACAACAACTATATACCGTACAAAACTACATTGCTAGCCTTACAATTCGAACTCTGCGAAACCACACAATCGAAAAACGAGCCACCAAACAAGGCAATTTAAAAGGAGATTTGTTTTATGTTGATCCTAAGAGCTTGAAATTCGACTATTGGAATATGTAAGAAACTAAGATCACAGATATTTTAGGTTAACACTTGAATAATTCTTTTTATTACATTATTTAACATTTCATTTATAAGTAGTTAACAATTATGTCTTATAATAACAAAAGTAGTTATGAAGCAAATTCATATTATTTATGGGAAATTTATAAAGCGTAGATTCTTAAAAATTTTACATACATTTCTAAAATGATGTATCTGTCTCTATAACCCATATAAGTATGTATATGTATATATGCAGTGTATATTTATCTACAAATTATAACTTTTTTGTAGAAAACTTGGACAAAATGCACCGGTAAATATTGAATTTGGAAATGAGAAAAAAATTAACAAACATTGGATTCCAGGGAGACCTTTAAAACTATTGACACACGGATATGTTAGGTCAATTAATAACATTGAAACCACAAAAATAAAATCAGGTATTTCTAAATTCAATTTAAGGAAATTATAATAAAATTTCTAAAATAATGTATGTTATTTTTATATTGTTTACAAAGCAATTTTTAATACTTTTAGTTACAGGCAGTAATGGATCCAGGGGGGAGGGATGATCGAAGCGAACGCACCCTTCATTTTCTCTTTAATATACATTTTAAAGACCCCCTCCCTGGTCACTGAGGATGTAATAATACATTAAAAATGTATCATTTATTATTTATTATAGTTATCCAAATTCTCAGGTTATATTGCCACTGGAAATTATAACATCATTACACTAGACTGGAGTGAAGTGTCAAAAGATATTTCATACTTTATTCCGGCTTACTTGACTGTTCGCGTGGGTTCAATAGTTGCTCAATTTCTGGAAAATATTGTTACCCTTGGACTAATCGAACCGTCTGATATACACCTTATCGGTCATAGTCTCGGTGCACATCTTTTTGGAGCTACAGGTGGCGCCTTCACTCTAGGAAAAATTGGCAGAATTACAGGTGATATATACATACATAGTTTTTCACGAAGGTATATCTATTGTAATATCTCCAGAAATAATGAAGATAATCATGTTATGTATTTTTTTTTATATTACTTACAAGGATAACGATTATAAATATTTATATTTCAGTTAATTTTTTATCATTCGGAAAAAACTTAAAAAATAGCTTTTTATTTTAACATTTTTAAAAAATTTAAAGATAGACATTTTATAGAGTTTATTCTTCTAAACATTTTAAAGTATACATTTTTTGTTTTCATTAAATTCCTGGTTTTTAATAATTTTTTAAAGTTCTGAGAACAAAAGTGTAAAGTTAATTAGTCATAATAATAATAATAATCAATTAGCGAATGCAATTATAACTTGCTACATAATTATAAGTACTTTTCTCTGAACTTAAAAAAATTATTAAAAATCACGAATTTCATGAAAATAAAAAATGAAACATCAAACTTTGTCAAATTTTTCATAAAAACAAAAAGTTATTTGTTTAGTTTTTTCATCAATAAATAACAAATTAATTCTCATATAAATATCTGTAGTCATTATGTCTGCGTGTAATATAAAAAAAAAGCAGAATTTGATTATCCTTCTTATCTGCAGAAATATTACAGTGGGTTGGCATATCTTCGTAGGATACTCTGTATAAATCCACTATCGTGATACGACACTAGAGTTCAAGATATAATTAGTTCTTATGGATATCATACAGGTTTGGACCCGGCTGGAATTGGATTTGAAACGTTTTTTATAGTAGAAACTCGTCATTTGAACGTTGCTGACGCACAGTTTGTTGACGTGATTCATACGTCGGTGGGGTCAATTTTCGGTTTTGCTAAACCCATGGGACACGTTGATTTTTATGCAAACCTGGGTCTAGTCCCTCAACCGCAATGCGAAGTTAAGGTGACATTTCTGCCATTTCTACCGTTCGCGATGTTAAGCCAAAGTACGTTATACTTACCCCTATACCAATCTAATTACTGTGCGATTTTCTATTTCTTATTATTTACTATACAACAAAAACGAGGAGAGGGGTGGGTAAAATCGAAATCAAACTGTTTTCGGTGGGCAACAGTTTATGTATTTGATTAGACTTCCTAAGTGTAATGAAAGCTATCTGTTTACAGGCATCTGTAGCCATTTTAGGGCATGCCAATACTATGCAGATTCTATTTATAACGGGAAATCTTTTATGGCCGTTCAGTGTTTTTCAGCCAAAGAATATATGAATGGCCGGTGTGAAAATAACCCCATTAATTTCATGGGAAATGATGTGGATTTTGGGTAAGATCACTTTTTTATAATATAGTTTTCCCCATACTTGTATTATGTTTTTAACTTAACTACTAATTAATTATCAGGGACAGATCCAGGGAGTGCTAGAGGCATAGCCCCCCAGATATGTTATTTCTCTGATTTTTGTATGATAATTATATGAGAAAATAATATACATAATATATTATATTATATTTTAATTGTATTTGTGTTGTAAAAAAATAGTTGCCCCCCCAGATCTTTGTTCTGGATCCGTGCTTGTTAACTATATAATTTAATTAACTATAATCAACTTCCTAAATAATTAGTTTTGAATATTATAATATTAAAAATACCCGTAAGTAACAAGGCTTTGTCACTAGAATTCAGTGGTGTTAAATCCAGACATTTTTTCGAGAGGGGGTGGCATTACTAAATTATAGTAATGATCTTTCATTTTTTTGCTTATTTACCCTCTTACTAAGACCAGTCAAATATGTTTAACCATTAATTTATCCACATTTAACAGAGGCAAACAAAATTACAGGGGGCTATTGCCCCCCTAACACATACCAGGATTCAACATTGTTAGAATCAAATTCCCCTCTGCAGACTTGTTGGCGTTAATTTAATTCATTGGTTTGTTCATAATAATTAACTATTGATATTAAATAGTTTCTGTTATTAGAGTTATTCACTGGTATTCATAACATTATATTATATACCTACTTCATTAAATTAAATGTTATATTTATGTATCATTTGTATTTACTAGAGACCCATTAACCACGTTTACCCACTTCTCCTGTGCTCTATTACCCACAGTTTATTACTCCTCCATTATTTTAGACATAAAATATGTCATACAATCTTCCAGATATGAAAAAAAAAAAAAATACTAACATATATCACAAGATAGGTAGATGACAGTATTTATAGGTACTGTAGGTGAGAAATTGAGAAGGTAGAGGGGAAATTTAATGTATACCTGTACGCAACAAAAAACCATTAGTAACGAAAAATAATCTTGAGCGAAGTTCGGTTAATAGTGTTGTTTTTTTAACAATATATACCAGGTTAGGTTACTTTATAAAAACACAAACGTTTTCTACCAAAAAAAAATGATTTAATCAAAAAATTACAGGACACCTTTTTTGTTGCCTTTTGATTTAATTTCTTACGGTATCATCGCCAAAACTTGCGTCACTTTTGAGTTTTTAAGGAATTTTAATTTTTGGGAGTTTTTTACTGTGATTCGGTTATAAATACATATAGAGTCTTGAAACTTGGTAACAATAATTATAATGGATAAATCTAGACGTGGTAAAATCATCGAACGATTTTTTTTTTTTTATAAGAGTTTTGAAATAAATTTAAACGAGAATCGTAAAAAAAATTACGGCACTTCATATTATGTATTACCGAACTGCGCTCAGAATTGTCTTTCGTCAAGCAATGGTATATCGTTGCTTACAGATGAAATAACCTTATGTATCATACCTTCCCAACTTCTCACCTACAATAGAGGCAGCTTCCATCCCCAGTATCAGCTCTTTTTTTAAAGTTTATCTTTCTAGAATAAAAAATTTCCTAGATTGGTACTTTAAGTAGGTCATTTTTCGATTTTCCCAAGAGATTTTCCAGCAAATGTAAAAAACCGAGAAAAAACACGGGAAAAACGAAAAAAATCGGTACAATATTAAACAAATATTATTAATTAAAATATAGAATGCCTATTTAATTATTTTACCATAATATGACATCATATATATTGTTGATAATATATCACTATGTACTGAACTCCGCTCAGAATCGTTCTTTCGTTAGCAATGGTTGATCGTTGCAAATATACTGTGATTTATTTAAGTGGGTACACTCATTATCTCGGAAAGTGGTAACTTTTTCTGGAATTTGTTTTCTAAAACATTTAAGAAACAAACTGCTCTACAATTTTATATTTATGCTATTTTTTATCACCCTAATTTTTTGGATAAATCTACTACCTACTTTAGATTTTCAAATGGGTATTATATTGAAAATTCCATAAATAGATGGAGTAATAGTTGAAATACATACGTACATTTCCCCAGCACTCCTACATACGATTTTCGCAAATTTGTTTTTGCTAACATTTAGTATACAATTTGTATGACTTTGCATGACTATTTTCCGAATTTTTAAACCTTTAGTTTTTGCTCCAAAAACAAAAATTGGAGCGATGCTGGAGAAACATTTCTCAACAGATTCTCTTACAAATTCGGAAAATAGTCATAGGAATTCATATGAATTGTATACTTAATATTAGCAATAAACAATTTCGAAAATCGTATGAAGGGGTGCTGGGGAAATGTACGTGAAATAAATTTTAGTGTTAAAATTTTTGATTTCATCAAACCGTTGTTGACGAGTTATTTCACTTTTAAGTTTGGGTTGGAGGAGAGTAGTGGTGCATTAGCGGTTTTTCTCATTTATTATAAAACAGTTGGAAAAATCAAAAAATGACCACTTTAAAGTACTACCCCAGTCAGATTTCCTTTCAGAAATTGTGCCATAATTTGAAAATTGGAGCAAAATTGCTGCTTAGAAAAATTCTTCACAGATAAAAAAAAAATAACCATCATTGTAAAACTAATATATTCCTTACTTCGCTCAGAATCTTTTATCAATATAGGTAAAATGGTTTTTGAGAATTTAACTAATATACAAACCATCGAGACAGGAAATTTGAGCATAAAAATGGTTGAAGAGTGTGGTTCAAAGTTGAAGCTTCTTTAGGCACATTACTGATACATCGTGCATATAAAAAATGTCATCCTTTTGGCTTTATTTGGGGGTCTGTAATGATATTCAATGCTAAAAAATCAACACTAGGTGAAATTCTTATTGAAATTCCCCCAACATTTTATTACTTCAATCACTCATAAAGCACCTCCAAAACTTGAGTTTGAGCTCATTTTTTCCAATAGGAGTTACTAAAAGTGTCTAAAAGTAGCGGAAGAAAACATTAGAAACTATTGTACAGTAAAACAGTCTTTATTTTCTCTGGAAAATCAACAAAAATAAAAAAAAAACCATATACAATATCAGTAATGTTATGCAAAATTACCATCTTATCAACTAAAAATATCTTTACTTTTAGGAAAAAAGGTAGTTTTTATCTGAAGGCCCAAACTAACGCACCTGCTATAGGATTTATGAACGTTATATTTGATTATGTCAAGCGAATTTTTAATATATCTTGAAGAAACCTTGCGGTCACCCAAAATATTACATCTTTATACTTTGAAAATAACATTTCAGATCACGTTAGTACAATAGAGCATGGACACTCGATCAATTGATCGAGTGTCCATGCTCTATTATTTATATTAAAACTGTAAATAAATAAGTTGTACATACAGTATAAAAGTAAAATACATAAGTATTCTAAGTCAAATACTACTGTTAGCTAAGTCATTTTTTTGTTTTTTAGAAAAATATCTAGATTCAAGTCATTTTAATGTAATATAAGTTTATTCGTTTATATTTCTAGATTTTAAACTTAACAATGTGTATGTTAATTATACTATGATGTGTGTTATTTTAAAAAAACAGGGAAGAAACGAGAATACTTTGACAATAACATTTTCTATTAATTTTATTTTTATTTGTAATTCAAAGAAAAATAATCATAGAGGTCAAAAATTGTACCCGAATAATTATAACAATAATAATATTATACCTTATTAATATATGATGTAAGCGTTTACTAGACGTGGTATACGTACAAAAGTTTCTGTTTTTTTTTTATTATTATTTATAGCTATTGTCGATTTTTTTTTTTTTTTTTATTTTATTTTATATAAGGAAAAATTGTTTCGGCTAAGTAAAAATGCTTGAAAATTTGATACACGGTTTTATTAAATTAAATACGATTCTAAGCAGATTTAAGTTGAACGTGATAAATTGAAATGGAAAATTACGGGTGCTTTTGAAATTTCCCTTATCTGTGTGTTCATTCTTCTTCCCCAGCAGTTCAACACGGTATCATATATAGGATTAAATTCCTTCAAACATAGTTCGTAGTCTTTATAAATCCTTAATACTATCCTAAATAACATTGTGATCTTGTCTGAACATTGTGAACTATTATGTGTGCTGTATTATTGTATTATTAAATAAACTATAATTATATGAATTTATTGATGTGTTGGTTATGTTTTTGTTTTATATATTAAACATACTTGACGTGTTTTTTTTTAATTTTAAATTTATTATAAGAAGCCATAACTTTTGGGCGTCACCGTGACAGTATAACAGATAATTTCAGTTAAATTAAAAATAAGAATAATTTGTAATTATCATAAAACCTATGTATACATAAAAATAATAATAATAGAGTTCTTCTACCATGGATAATTCTGAAAATAAAAAACGAAAGTGTTAATAAATCAAAGTGTTAGCAATAGAGAACACAGTTTATCTGTCATTAGATTTGAAGTAGACCTCCAAAATAAGTAATAACGTGCACATTATCGTTTGGCCAGTGAACGATGGTATTGAAGTATAATGGAGTGGCTGCAGGATATTTTAAAAACCGTAAATGATTGCACTTATGTTTTTTATTTAATAATTATTAAGTATGATAGTCAATAGTATTTCCTGTCTATCATAAATTATTCTTTTGTTATTAATTCCCATAAGTTAATTACAAATCAAAATGTACCTATACAGTACATTACTACATCGTTAGATTATTGTATTATCATGTTAATTATTATTTTTAGTATTTTTGTTTTGTGTTCAAAATAAAATCAATGTTTGTTTTAATACACTGTTTATAGCAGCGATTCTTAAACTTCTGTAAAACACGGATCCCTAAATGAAAGAATTTTCAAAAGAAAATCATAGGCCAATTTTCTTTTGAATACCTTTTTTTTTGTTTTAAAAAATATCTCAGGTTACTATAATCAAAACTTTAATGCATATGAATTTATAATTTTTGTATTACACTTAAATTTTCATAAAAATAGCACATAGCTCTCACGTCATTTTGTTGGGCTTGTACACACTACTATTGTTGTCATGTCACATAGTACTATAGTGCTCTTTATTGGCTGTGGCACATAACTCCGTTTTTCAGGTCTAACGAATTTTTTTTTGTCACTTAGCTCGTTTTTTATTTTTATTTTTCAATGGAAGACATGGAGTCTATTTTTTCAATCAATAGGTAGGTGATCGGATCAAATAATTTTGACCCAACTCACTCGTATATGAGCTCACGCGACACTGCAGCATTGGTTTGTCATACTATTATGATATTTACCTATCCAGAGAAATTACATTTTGTTCTAAACCTAGCTATTTTTAGTTTATCAATACTAATAGCAGTAACTAGTAGTAGCAGTTCGGTAGACAATAAACCTCGCGAGTATCCACTGTCGCAACGTGCAGCGATCGGAAACGCGATATTGTGTTTTGTCTACATAGGTCATCGAGACAGATAAACAATATTATGTAGAAGTAAGCTCTCATTCCTGGATGGCAGATCAGAAAGGCCGTAAAGCACATCTTGGGCGTCTCCCAGAGAGATGACCGAATGCACCTACCAACTAACAAAACCCAAACAGACAATTATGAAAACAAAACTATAACCAATATATTGTTTAAAGTTCTTGAACATCGATAGAATGATGAAAACGATTCAAAATTATTTGATCAGTTGCTTTATAATTATTGGGCCCTGAGCCGGTTTTACAAATGTTCTCCTATTTCAAAAACTATTTTTAATATTTCAATGGCCACCTTAAATGTATAACTTTTCCACTAACCCATTTACGAACTTTATCTATATATTATTCTATGTATTATTGAGTCATTAAACATTAATTTCCAAACCACTTTAAATTACTAAACAGTAGTACGAAAATAGACATTCTAAACACAGTATTATATGAAAAACATTCGGATGTGTAATCCTGAATACCTATTTGTTCATTTACTTGAATGCAGGATCTGCGTAACGATTTGCGAGGCCTTAGATAAATTTATATTTTCGAGTCTTTTTTTTGTTCAGCTTAGTCTATAACACTCCTCCTACCTAGTACTTATTGTAATAACACTCTATATTTGGCCACGGTCGAAAATACTGTTTGATAGAACAACGCGCGTGTATGGGTTTCCTCAAAATATCGTTATTTTTCTAAAAATATAATATTTTTCCAGTTTTACGCTTATTATAATAATAATGCTCATGGGTGGATTGGCCAATTTCGGGCTACCGGGACATTTTAAAAAAGGCCTCTTCATGAAAAAAAATTCTTTGATTTTTTTTTGTTAATGGCCTTTTACTTGGATAAACATACCTGGATCCATCATGGATAAACCAATAGTTTGATATTTGCCATTTAGTCGTGTTCATCACTACCAAGAACAATCTAAGGAGGGGGCTCATTGGGAAATTCTGATTTCCCGGTAAGTTTATAGGCCCATGATTATGCTATTCTTTTTTATGGGTCCACAAACGTGAGGCCTCTGAAAACGAAAGACCTTGGAGGTAGGCGTCGCTTGCCATTCCCTAACGCTGCCCTAGTTTGAATTCGTACTATTCTGAATACACAACAAAAGTGTTCATTGCCAAACTGATAATATCTATACGTACGTTTATTAATTATTATTATTATTAATTATAATTAATTATTAATATTCTTCTTAATTTTCCTACACGTTTATAAATTCATTATTTTTCATATAAGACGGTTTCTCTTAACCAATATTAGGTATTCATTATTGTGTACTATATACGAAAAAAAAATAAATAAAGTACCAGTCTAAGTATTTAATAATAATTTCGAAAAATGTATAAATATTGAAAAATATATTTCAATTTATTTTAATTAATATTATATCGGGTAGGCAACTTATCTAACGTATCATTAAAATAGATTGTATAAAGTTATATTGTCATGGGTTGCATGTGAATACAACAGTTTATAATGATTTTTGTCAGTATTATTATCATTCTTTAGATTGTATGTACAACAGTCGTATATAGTATTGCAAATTTTAATTAGAAACAAATGGACTCAAGTCTTATAAATTTGATTATTATGCTAAACAATGTCAGATTTAAATATTTAAATTACGTATTTGTTGGAAAAAGTATATATTATACTTTAATTTTAATTTATAAAAAATTTAAAAACGTTTTTCATGTTTCCTGTAAAAAAAAGTATTTTATTTTAAGATTCCAATCATAGCAAGGGAACTATTGGTTTTACAATGCTGTTTTTTTTTCTTTGTTTTAGCCTGTGGACTTGTTTTTTACCAGTAAACCTGCTCCGCTGTATTAGTATAGTACTTTTTCTGAAAGTTCAATTTGTAATATAAAATAAGAAGGTAGTAGTTTTATCCCTAGAAATTACGGTGACAAAAAACAACATAAATATAAAATTGTAGAACAGCTTGTTTCTTAAATGGTCTAGAAAACAAATTCCGAAAAAGTTATTACTTTCTGAGATAATGAGTGTATCCACTTAAATGAATCATCTGGTACATTAAATCCCCTTCTCTGTATCCGATCTTCCCAACCCCTATCTACAACAGTGGCTGCACCCACGTGCAAAACATATCCGACGTCTGTCTTTATTTTTTTTCAATCGTTTTAATTATAGAGACGTTCAATTTTTACAGAATACTTCCCTTTTCTAGGCGTGTTATTATTAGTGTTATTAAGAAATTCGTTGTAAGTTGACAACTTGTATATAGTAGTAAAAGAAAAAATAATTAGGTAAAGTAATATATAATTCAAAAATAAGTTTTTATAAGGTTTCTAAGTTCACGTTTCTACGAAAAACGTGTAACTTCACTCAACATTTTTTTATTATGCAGTGTAAGTTACTGCTTTGTTCATGTTTGCACGTCCATCTGCTTATATGTGCTATAACTCTCATACGATTTTTAATATTGATATGTGGTTTTTTTTATCAAATATTAAATTGTATTCTAAAAAAGACCACCGTTTATTTTCAGTCTAATTTTCGGAAATCGGGAGCTTTCGGTTTGTGTTGGTTAACATCAATTGAATTTGTTTTATGCCATATCTCCTTTGTTTTTTGGGAATAATATGCATAATATAATAATAATAATATGACGTTGCAATTGCATTTGATATCGTTGGAAATAATAGTCTATATGCAATATTAGGTATATAACATTCATTTCAAACAAAACGATTAACATAATATTATTGCTATAAGTAAGTGTATATTTACGTTTGCACTTAATTACTACAGTCGTGTAGATAAACAATAATATATTATTGGCAATTAAAATTTAGAACAAACACACCTTTTGATAGTAGGTATGTATGCGCCTAATTGTGACTTCCCTCGCGGTGGCGTGCGATAAGTCAACAAGACGAGTAACCGAACATTCGGACTGACGACGACGCCGACATTTGATTGGTTTTAGTGGTGATTACCGCTGTCTAATTACAACCGACAATAGTCAGTGCAATTCGAATCCGACTGCAAACGTATACGTGCAGGACATTAATTGTTGTCGTTTCCCCTCGAACAGAAAACAATAGCGGCGAGTGCGATACATAATATAAAAGTGGAAATATAATAATATTATGCAAGTCGGTTACCGCCAAACGATCAACCTTTTTCATTAGCAGATTCGACAATCGTCACAGTCGCAATAACACTTAAAACTGTAAACACCGCAACATCTGCAGTTTGGATATGAAAAATTACATATCGTCAATAGTGGTCGTCTTGCTGCTGCTGTTGTTGTTCGCGGACAAGCCTTCCGATGGTTCGTATAAACCGTACCCGACTTTTTTGATGATTATAGCTTTTTCCTTTTTGTCAATTGTCCAACAAAAGTCAGGTTAACATACCGTTTTTAATCATCTCCCAATCCATCAGTATTTCTTGACATCTATTTCACACTTCTTCAAATCTTCCTTTAAACATCTAATAATGTAACATTTTTATTTCATTGACTAACTTCTACCCCGGACCTCGGTTTCTATTTACTTTTAATTTGTCAAGGGATTCCCTCTAAATTTCCCTTAAATCGTTAATTGACGATTGATAAGACACCATAGAATCACCACTGGAAGAGTTAATTGATATATTAGTGGTCATCGCTTGATATTCAACATACTTATAACCTAATGAAACGCCACGTTATTTGAACCATTTGTCGAGTGTTGTCCGAATAAAATATATTCGCGGTCCTTTAGCTCAGAGATTGTTACGGTCCATTTGGAGAAGATTTACAAGGAACACCGAGAACGGCCGTCCCAACACTATGCCCGGTCGGCAGGAAATCGTCAGCCGACAAGACGTCGTACCAGCAAGTGACGACACAGTCCGTCCTATACAAATTCCATTGACTGACGCGACCGAAAGTCAACAAGAAACCGAACCATATATTCCTCAAAGAAGATCGTCGTTGTTTATCGATGGCACCAGCTTGGATTTTGTCTATTGGAACAAGTGTGTAAAAAAATATAAAATATAAAATATATAGGTAGTATAAGTACCACCTAAATGTTTTTTATTTTATGCTCACCAAAATGTATTATTTTCATCTCGTAGAGAACTTGGCAATAATAAACCGATAATAATCGAATTTGGTAACGAAAAACAAATTCTCAATTATTGGGTTCGCGGGAAACCTTTGAAAGTCATAACCCATGGATGGCTAGGGACGGACGAAGACGACAAAGGAGTGTTCGGCATAAAAACAGGTATAAATCAAAAATATTTAAATTAATATTTGATGTACTAAGTGGCTTAGGTTAGGTTTGAAAGGTACGAACACCGACCTAATCTGACCTTATTTTTTGAGAATTATTTGTAAATAACTATACTGCCATGAATACGTGCCGTTTTCTCATTATGAAACGGACATTGTTTTGAAAACGAAATACGTCTCATTTTTCCAAAAACTGTTCAGCTTACGTCGCTACCGAAAATTGTAACGTTATCACGGCGGACTGGAATCGGGTGTCGGGCAATTACATGTACCCGATGCCGGCCTATCAGACTGCTCGCGTGGGTTCCATTATAGCCGAATTGTTGGAGCATTTTGTTCAGCTCGCGGTGATCGATCCGTCCGATATACACGTTATTGGTCACAGTCTCGGTGCCCACGTATCCGGAGCATGTGGCGCGGCTTTTAGTCTCGGAAAAATCGGCAGAATTACAGGTATGTATAGTGTAATTATGACGACCAAGAATCAATAATCGTATAATAACTGACGAAGATATTATTTGGAGCTATAGTAACATTTAGAATGGAAAATATATCCCGAGGAAAAATGTTAAATTATTATTTATCATTTGGGTGTACAAATCTCAATTGAGGGTGTGCACATTTACCTTTTAACGATTCGTTTCAGTACAACAGCATATTTCCCTTCTCACTTTAATAGACTTAGGACTATCTGTTTTCCACAGGCGTGATTAAAAATGTGTGTGTATGTGTGTTCGAGTATTCAAAAATATTACAAACTTGAATATCATTCACAAAATATCATAGACATAGATATTTTTGTAGTTACTAGTTACTCTCTGTTCACATCTAGTTACTGGCAAAAAACTAATTGAAAAAAATTAAAACTTTCGAGTTTTGACCTATCTACAAAATTATATTTGATTCATCGATTTTTGTATCTTAACTTCTAAATAATATTTAATATTACATTTTACGATAGGTAAACGATTTATGCGTGTTGTACTTTGTGTACTGTGTATATTCCAGTGTGGAACTTCTAGTGCAGGTAAACCTATTTTAAATGTGCGCAAACAAGTCATCGAATTGCAGGTAAAAATTTGTATATGTGCGCAAACAAGTTGTACCGCTCAATTGATAATATCAATACATAAAAAAAAAAAAAATTAAACATAATATTTATGTTTATACATATGTCATAATTTAATGTCTAGGTTCTTCATTCATCCATGAGCTTCCATATTTAACTCCATTCTATTCCACCATGAAACTTCCTCTTTTGGGCACTTATTCAAGATGTATTTTAATGTTTGGTCCTCATTACCACAGTCACATGAGGGGTTGTCTTTCATTTTACATTTAAACATTAAATATCGAAATGTTCCTTGTCCCGTTTTTGATTGGTTAGAGTTATACATTCTTGTCTTGATAGATCTAAATTTGCCAACGGCTTATACGGCGGGATATCAGTTCACTGTTTTCTAACTTTGTGTTGTTCCAAAAGTCTGTCCAAATATCCTTTGTTCTAAAATTACTCTGCTTTATCATTGCTGTAGTTTGCCATACTACCGAGGTTAACAACTACACGCTGGATATTTTTTCCACATAGTTACTTTTTCCTCGGATATTTCTGCCTAAATTTGCAATATTTATTACCAATACTGTTGTTGCATACACAGGTCTGGATCCAGCTGGCCCGGGATTTGAGTACGTGGCGTTACGATCCGACCATTTGGACAGCACCGACGCACAATTTGTGGACGTTATTCATACGGCGTCGGGCACGGCTGGCTATTCGAGCCCCATAGGACATGCGGATTTCTACCCGAACGAAGGGTCGCCACCTCAACCGGGATGTTTGGAATCGTATATGCCCACCGCGTTAGTAAATCTCAGTGAGTATCGTATTTTTGTACTTGTTTTGAGTAGACCTATATTCCCCCCCCTTGAAAATTGATGGGCATGTCAGTGTGTTACCTACAGTATTAATTATATCAACAAATCGTCCACCTGGTTATTTTTAACAGTCGGGTGCAGTCATTCGAGAGCGCACGAATTTTACGCGGACTCCGTGTATAACAGAAAATCGTATTCGGCCGTAGAGTGTCCTTCGTGGGAAGAGTACACGAGCGGTGTATGCAAAAATAATACCCACAGTTTTATGGGACACGACGCGGATCCTAAGTAAGAATACGATACTTAAAGTAAATATTTAAGTCTAAACAATTTTAAAAAGCCGAACATACTTCGGACCATAGATAGACTGTTGGTACATTGTTACATTAATATACTGTTATTAGGGTGAAGTTGGGAAACGGTAATTTAGTACATATACTGTATGCAATCGATAAATCATCGAATTGCTGAACATTTAGATAAAATAAATTACTACTGTTTAGACATTTCTCATCTTCTAAAGTATTGGATTCAAATTTTAATCAAACGAAAGTGTCTTCTGAAACAAAACACATTTTTGTAAAATGTATTGCTTCTTTTTGTTTTATTCAGAATTTAAAACCCAAACTCATTATTTTAAATTAAAATTAAAATCACAAATTATTAAGTGCATGCGTCATAATAATAATAACAACAACGACAATTAATAAGTATAATTCATAATATAAACAAACCGTATTTTCATTTATATGATATATATATATTAATTTAATTTTTAATTGTCGCTATAAAAAATAAGTACTAATTAAATTATAAATACATTGTATACTATTGGTAATAATAATGTAAATTGCATGTTATTTAAACGTTTTCAAAAACTATGCAAATAATTAATGACAACTTTTCAAATACATCAAAATAATCGCTATAATATTATCATATGTTATATTGCATAATTCCATCATTAACGTTCATTTTTTTTTTTTTTTATCTGTTCTCTTATTTTTTTAATGGCCTTCAGAACTCTTAGAGTTTTTACCATTAAAGCAAAATCACGTCATCTTTCTCTCTCTTAGACCTCGTCTCTTCAGTCTTCCACTACTTATTCGATTTATAAGATCCTCTTCGAGATCAATCTTTTCCTTGGTTAATCACGATGTCCCTTAATCTCCACGAGGTTTCCACTCTAGTGCTGCTCTCAATATGATCAACTTCTGTTCTCCTAATTATGTATCCTAGCTCTTGTAAAATTTGTTCTACATCATGTCATACACTATCCCTATTGTTTTTTCTATGTAAAATATTATTTGTTCAATCATAAACTGGTGCCATAGATTCTTCTTAATGTTTTGTCCTCGAACATTTTTAGTTTCTTTTCTGCCTGACGAGTTTTTTTTATCTATAATGTAAAAAATCATGATCGACGGTTTTTTGCTGTGATTATATCAATAGTCACCAGGCAGTTGTTCTATATTATGTAGATCAGGATCATTATTATATTATGACGTATACAGAAAACCGTTCCACTATATTATTTCCTTTACGGTTATAGATAAGTATACTGCAGTTTGGAGTTTAACTAACATAGTCACTTAATATATTACAATTGCTGCTTGATTAAGTCGAAATAAATCGAGTTGATATATCTACGTAAAACGAGGGTGTAGATTATAACCACAGTTACCAAACGTCGTATAGCGTCGTATAACCGATGACGTTCGCGCATAATTAAATTATAATATTGGTGTACAGCCGTACTATAATATGTGTTTTTGGTTTCATTTATGCGTTAGAATAGCATTCGAAATAACATAACTACTTGAATAAATTGTATGGTAATAATTAAAATAAAATGATAATATTAGTACAGCCGTGATGTGTACTCACAACGCGAGTAAAAGGTATTTTGACGGTCTGTCACGGTCATGGTCGAATAATATTGTTGATAAAATGCAAATATTGTATTACATTCGTAGATTATTAATTGATAAAAGCAATGTGCAGCATAATATACGTGTGGCGAGAAAAAAAATCATAAAATTGCATTAGGTACTTATAAACATTATATGTATACATAAGCGCCATTGGGCCATTAATGTTTGAAGAAGAAAAAAAAATAAATTTGCATTGTTCACTATGCTTATATTTATTCGTGTTTTATATTTTGACGTTCTAACGTCTTTTAGATAATTTTTTTGAAAATTCAAACTATGGTAGTCAATACACGAACGAAACTTATAATATCTTTTCTTCTTCTATTAGTGTACCTACCAGTATTCTACCTATTCTCTAAAATAGTTTTTGACGCCATAACTAGATTATTCGTATCGTGTCTATATTGAATTACTTCTCCTCGTTTTTTTTTTTCAACTCCCAAACAATTTAAATCTTACCCCGCCATGCCAATTAATTTTTTCTCGGGTCTTCCTTGTGGTTTATGTTTCATATCATTCTATATCAACCCTAATTGCGATATAACATTCAATTAATAAGGTGGATCCAGTGTCTATATATTTACGGCTAGGGCACTTATAGGAGTAACAAGGAGTTAAACAGTAATTTTTTACATTTTTTTCTCTTGAAATAATTAGTTTTTGACTACATATTTATTGGTCTATCGTTAAAAATTAAAAAATTAGGGTGTGATTTATTTTCTGATCAAATATCAGATTTAACGTAAACATCACACACTTTCTTCTCGTAGATTCTGAAGACAAATCAGCTGAATTCACCCTTGATTAATATATTACCTAATCGTTAAATAATTATTTTACAAGCATTTTCCTATGTAAACCAATATTACATTATTTATTTTATTTTTCACATGTATAATAGTATTACATATTTCATTTTCAGAGCCAGAGGTATTTTTTATCTTCAGACCAACAGTACCAGCCCTTTTGGGATTTTGGAGAGAGTATTATAAAAAAAATGCACCACACGATGAAGATATAGTTGTTTAAGATTTAATTTATTTTTTTTTATTGTTGTTTTTTAAAATATTAATAAATGTGTACCATCTATGTTGTGGATAGAGTATAGACTATATTATAATGCATTATATATAAGCGTATTTTGACAAAACAAAAAAAAAAAAAAAATGAAGCAGTATTCCGTCCAAATAAATATGAGACAGATTTACCACTGTTGTAAGTGGCAAGTTGGGAAAAAAGGATGCATACCTTTATAGGTATTTAATTTTTATCTGTATGCAACGATAAATTAATGTTAATGAAATCTTAGCCGATGAAACATAACCTATAAGTTTTAAAATGTTGTCACTTTTACGATGTTCGTTAAAAATTCAACTAAACACTTATAAAAAAAAAAAAAAACCTGCAGCTAATAAGTTCAAATTTTTTTTTATGATTACCTACTTATAATGAATATCGTGTTAAGTTTTGAAGTATTTATATTTATCCAAAATAATTTTATCTACATAAAACCATATAAAACTAAAATATCTTAAAAATATCGAACACCTAACCTAAAAATTACCAAAATGTTTTGAACATTTAACTACGTTTAGTAAATACTTCTGCGAAAAATTCAAGGTTCTATGATTATTTTTAATCACAACAAAAAAATAAAATCGAAAATAATTGAAACAGCATTATTTCCGTAAATGATACCGTTTTTCCTATTTTTTTTCCAGCTTTTCCTAATTTTAAAGAAAACTATTAGGACAAAAAACTTTTTTATGCACTATGTTGCAAATTTAAAGGGAAAAGGGAAAAGGCTTGGTCGAAATATTCGTTTTTAGGACCTGCTAAATAGTAAATTAAATTATACATTTAGGAATGAAATAAAAAATGTTTTTTATTTAAAAGTATTATGCTTCAGACATCTTTTTTTTCTATTATTACATTTGTTTAATTAAATTTAAAATACATAATATTGTTTTAACTTTCCTCTAAATTTAATTGATAACAATATACAAGATAATTTGTTTATAACTAATTAACACCCAATCGGACAAATTGGTCTGCAGGAGTATAATACTTATTGATAAAACATTGAAATTGTTATAATAATAACAATAATAATAAAAATAAGAAGAATAGTAATAATCAGGGCTCGTGACTTATAGCTCTAAAAAAAGTTGTTGAAAGCGCAATGATATGCTCTTAAAAACATTCATATAAGCGCTTATATATGCACTAAAAATGTTAAAATACGCAAAAAAACCAAGTATAAAATGAGTATACAATACCGACTGATATCACATCAAAAACCGGTAACGACTGTTTAATATAATACAGTGTTTCAAGCAAAATGAAAATAATGCGATAATACAACAATAAAATCATTTGATTATTAATAGAGACCTCCTTATCAACGGAATTACCGAGTAATGACAATGATTTATAACAATCGTTTTATTTTATTACGATTACCACAATATAAACTGATAAACGCAAATAATAATATTAATTTTGCAGGACATTCTCATTAGTCTTCTTTTAAATGACGATATAAGCGTCAAATAGGCGCTATAAGCCTATATAGCTGTATATAAGCTATATATATACGCTCGATATAAGAGCTAAAAACACCAAAATAGCGTCAAAACTTAAAAATATGCAACAAAAACTTTTGTATTTGACTTCCTGGTTATCTGAAACAAATTTGTAGCTTACTTAGGTGTTACTAAGACTTTTCAAAACAAATATTCAAATGTTACAAGTCATGAGCCTTGGTAATAATAATAGTGACAATCAATTTTGCTTTAATAATTTACAGTCTAGAATAGAAACGTAGGTGTCCATGAACTACACGACGGTAATGATGATGGACTAGATTGCTTGGCACATTAAGCAGTCTATAGGATTATTTCGACCATAGTTGGAGAAACGTAAATGGACGAAAAATGGATTAACAGAGCTGGTTAATTGTTGAGGTACACGGAATCGTTTATGGGAAAGTATAGATGGTGCATATAACATGCATAATATGTACCATCAATATTTTTTCGGAAGAACTTTAAATTGTCATTAGCTTTTCTGTCTGATAGTCATGCAATGGATGGTTAATATTGAGAATACGGCTAGCGAAGAAGAGGAAATGTCAACGTTGGACCCGCTCAATAATTAAGGAGTCAGATGTATTTTAGGAAGTGGCCATTTTCAAATATACGTATGGAGACGTACTAGAGAGCAGTAGAGAGCCTTTAGTGAGGACAATTTGTATTTAGTTGAAATACGTATTAATAAAAAACGTACGTCGTGTAGGCTTTGCCAATTATTGAATATGAGCGTGGTAATTTATATTCCTAGTCAGGAGGATACCTTTCGGACTTTTTACTTAAAATAGACATTAATTTAGTTCAATATTGTTAATTTTATAGATGTGCGTGAAGGCAGTTTTAGTCTGATATAATTTCCCTGGTTTTCCCGATTATTATGAAGACTATATGGAAAATCAAAAAATTACCTCCTAAATATATCAATTAAATTAAAAACGAATCAAAAAAAGTTCTTTTGTTGTTTTTTGATTTGAGCAAGATTTCTAGTAGAAAATTTTTTTATAGACACAAAAAAACAGAATCAATATATTCTTTGCTGTGTTAAAAATCTAAAAAAGAAAATCATCGTTTTCTATCTGCAGCTGCAGGTGCAACAAATTAGATGATGTTGCTTATGTGAGGCCAATTACTGGGACGCGTCTAGCACATCTTAATATACCTGCAGGTTAGTAATTTAAAACTTCAACAATATCTTAAAAATTGCAATGCTATTCTCCATGTAGCAATACAGGTATATTAATTATATCATTTCACTCAAGTATATCCGTCACGGTTTATTTTCTTTCTATAGTTGTTTTCTTGTTGCAAACAAATGAAAATGGCCTCCGTCGACCTTTCGAGTGAAGACGGAATAATTACGCGGCACACCTGTCGGATTTAAAAAAAATTAAATTAGCAGTTTTCATGCGAGGCGGTAATGACAAAACAAACCATCTGAGTTGGCCGGTTAGTTATTATAAAACGTACATATCGTCTAATATTGTTTCAACACGATTATCCTTGTCCAAATCCAAAATCGATTCAGTATAGGAATTTAATATATGAGCTACATTATGTTTAGGCAATTGAGTCGTCCCGCACGTTCCTCGTCTTCAGAGAGTTTTCGAAATCGAAGGCTGAGTTTTTTTTTTATCGGTTTTATAGCATTATATTATTTACGATAGGTGATTTATGAAATAATAACATACATTTATTTCGCGACGGACAATATAATATTCGTTAGTGTATTCTTACACAATTCACACATTGACCTATGCGCGTAAATCACTGTTATACGTTTGAGTCCGGTACACATCGCCGTTCGTTAGACGTACCTTACAAAAATATTTACTCGAGAAAAGGTCGCAATCGAATTCGCGGGAAATATAAATATAATTTGTTTTGTTATTATGTATTATTTATTATTATTATTTCAATACAAACATTTTTTAAGAATTTTCTTGTAGAATTTTGCATCTGGTTAGTGCATCCAGAAGGTAAATTTTCGTTGATTTTCCTTGCGATCTTCTTATTCACGGGGAAAAGAAAAAACTGGGAAAAACGGGAATATTTACGCAAGAATAACGGTTTTTGTTAATTTAGATTTTGTATTAGATTCTGCGAACGAAGTAAGTGTAAGTGTGAGTTTTACTATGGTGTGAGCTATGTTTTATTTTCTGTTCGTTAACAGGTTCTCTACGAGAAATTTCCCTTTGATCAAAAAATAACAAGACAACTTTTTTTTAGCATTTTATATATAATAAGTGCATTAAAAAGGAGATTTTCGATTTTCTAAGCAGTTTTCTGAAACTTATACGTTCACAAATTTACGATTTCGTTATTTTAAATTCGGAGCGTAGTGATAGTAGCAAAAGTACCAAAAGATATTGGTTTTAGTATGATATATTTTTTAATTTTTTTTTTGTCTCATACAACTTTTCGAAAAGAAATCTTGCATTGAAGTATAGAGTGTGTTTTTCTGAAAAGAAATTTTATCTAGTTGGTGCATTAAAGAGGTTATTTTTTGATTTCACAAAGGGTTTACAAAAATATTACTCCAATAGAAAACCAACAAGAAACCTTTTTTGTTTAATTTTTTTAATTAAGTTGGTGACTAATAAAATCATTTTTTATTTTCCTTGTAGTTTTTTTAATAATTGAGGAAAATTGAAAAAAAAATGTAGAAAGAAATGTACGAAATTAATTAATTTTTTCATTATTTTAAATTTGGTTTTATTATTGTAATTCAATTGAAAATATTTATAGAGATTTAAAAATTTGAACAGAAAGCTTATATTTGCCTTTTATAGACGTGAATATTTGTGCCATTTTTTTAGCTATTTATAGGTACTTCAATTTTGTGAGTTTTTATGCGGTAGGTACTCTATGGATAAACTTATTAGACAAAACATAAACGAAAATCGTTAAAATTACGGCCTATCAAAATATGTACAACCAAAATTCGCTCTGAATCGTTTTTCGTTAGTAAAAGTTTATTGTTGGTTACAGGTATAAATTGAATAATTTTATATATCCTACTTTCCCGACTTCCCACCTACAACAGTGGTGCACCCAGTGTCCCCAGCATCGGCTCTTTTTTTTGTTCTAATTCGGTTAAAAATAATCGTAGAGCACTGAAATTTTTACTAATTCTTCAAATTGGCATTTAAAGATGTCTCAATAATAAATTTTATAAATCCGATATTTCTGATTTACACCATTAATAAAAATCTGTTGATTTCCAGATGGTGTTGCTAATTTCGAAATTGGCGTTTCAAATTGATGTAAATAAGTTTTAAAAAAATGGCTTGGTTTAAAGTCAATATGGCCTTAGGTGTGGGTGCCAACTTCACGGACGTAAAATTACATACTATATTTATATTATTTCAAAACATCATCTAGGTCAATATTAATTGAACTAATATTTATAAATACACGGGATATCAAATTATATGTCAAGGAAAAATTATTCAATAGTTATTTAATAGGTAATATAAATGAATACGATTAAAAATAATTAAGCGTGTTTACTTGAGTGGTATAATAGTATTATAAACATTTGATAAGAAAACAAGATATCAGTTATCAATAAAATACTGTATAAACCTACTTATATATTACAACTACCAATTTATTGAACAACTGAGTAAGTGATTATAGCATTAATATTTGGAAAGTAATGAATTTTATACTTTTTATGACAAGACAAAAGAGAAAATTATCCTATTTTTGAAATATTT